AGCCCGGGATTCAACCCACCAACTTGCTGGTCAGAAGACGACTTGCCCTACCTCGTGAGCCACAGCCCCCCATTTATGTATAGGTCTTTTCTAACCTGTAGACCTCTGACCATTTCTTATTCCTGTTCTGCACTGTATTTATTGAGTGAGGAGTAACTTCTTCTTAACCATAGTATTTTAGCTTTTGTAAACATTGTTCCACTTTTAACTTAGTGACTCAAATAAATCTTTGTTTTTGTGGACAAACCCAAAGTCTCTGTGTGTTTGCAGACTTATCTGTGTGCGGTAACCCAGTACTTGTAAAGTTTGTATGAATTTGACCTCTTGAAACAGGAGGGATAATATTCTTTGAAAGCTACTAAAACTTATTAGTGTCTGGGTTGCATAGGCCTGTATATTGGCCTGGTCACACATGCAAGCAGTATTCTCTAGTGGCCAAACTTGGGGTTTAAGTTGTGCTTATTAAACCACTTCTGTTCTCTGACCTCTGTATACAGACGGTTTGTCTCCTGACTGTGTATAATGTAGTGTGAATAGAATAATCACCTTTATTTGGCGAAGTATGTTACACACAAGGAATTTGTTTCCAATACAGAACCGAGGCAGCCATTTGCAGCGCCAACTCAACTGATGGCTCTAACCATCAGGGGCAACGGGGGGTTCAGTGTCTTGCCCAAGGACACTTCAACATGTGGACCGCAGGCACCGAGATTCGAACCCCTGGTTGGGAAACAACTACTCTACCCACTGACCCACAGTCACCCTGCAAAACCAAGATTTACAGTATTGTTCAAAATAATAGCAGTACAATGTGACTAACCAGAATAATCCAGGTTTTTAGTATATTTTTTATTGCTACATGGCAAACAAGTTACCAGTAGGTGCAGTAGATTCTCAGAAAGCAAACAAGACCCAGCATTCATGATATGCACGCTCTTAAGGCTGTGCAATTGGGCAATTAGTTGAACATCTGAAAACTGTCACCTAAATATCATGTAACTTGTCTCACCTGATGTTCCTCTTTCCTCATCAGTATGTTCCCTCATTCTGAAGGCTTGACGGTATCTAAACCATTCAAACTGAGCCACTGATGTTAAGATACTGTGTTTAAGCTTTCTTTTAGTTTCTTGGACTTGTGTGATTGTCACTTTTACTGAAGTGGCCTTCATACTGTATCAACTCTTGCATGCTGAATTATGTTGCATGCTCTCTTAACTCATTTCCCCACCTCAGCTTCTCATAGTGATACACTACCATTTCCCCAAGACTGTAGGACTTGAGACCTTTCTGACCTTCTGCATGATGTTTTTATTATATGATTTTGGTTTTGCATTGCTGATTTTATTATGATTTTGACAAGAACGTACCTTTACCTCATGCTTGTCCAGGGTGAAATACATTGTGGCACAGGTTATTTGCTTATTGTGACTAAAGAAAACACAACTTGATAACTTACCTGTTTAAAGGGTGTCTCTTCTCTCTTGACCTATACTTTTCTACTCATCTCTCACTCTTGTTTACTCTATTCTCTCTTCTTGGCTTCTTGTCTGTAAATATTGAGGCTGGTGACTCTGGCGTATAAAAAAGTAACATTTTGTGATTTGGGGTAGTTACATCTTGGGGGAGGCACATGTCAGCAGGGCAGAGCTACAGTGGCTACATACAGAGCCATTAAGTAGGCTGTAATATAGATGTACAAGTGAAGCTTTACATGTTGGAACTGTGTCTCAACAATAAAACAGCAGGCGTGCAGCATCCTGAAGTCTGGTCACACTGAAGTCGCAGCTTTAGTATCACTGTGCCTGTACAGACACCAAAACAACAGTCCGTGCTCACCAACAGCATCTGCTAGCACACTCAGTAGCTGGACACCCTTCAGAAAAAGTGATGGGTAGATGGACTCACTGTAGAATCAAGCAATAATTCTACCACCAAACTCCCACTGAAACCACAAATTTCCCTTTTTATTTTGTGTGTGTGGGTGAGTGGGCTCCAATCTTTTTACACTGTCACATTCTAGGAACTCAACATCCGTATGAAGACAAAAAGCAAGTCCCCAAAACTTAAAACATAGCATTTGAGAGTGATGACTTGGCTCTGCCTGGATGGTGGAGGAATACAGCCTCAAAGTGGTAATTCTGGCTCTCTAATACAATGCTTCCTGTAGACATTCATGTGAACTGAATCTGATATTTACAGGGTGAATTTGTTCTTTCCACCACTAGAGGGCGGTGCACACTGTTTCATTGAGAGCAGCACTTACAAATGTGATCTAAGTTACAGTACATTATAAAGTTATAAAGCACATTATATTATATAAAGTACATTATAAAGTACTATCAAAACTACATCAAATTTAGAATATGATAAATCAATATGCCTATAACAATAGTGTACAGTTATTAGGTATAAATGCAAACATATGTACAGCATGTTATGAATTGATGCTGCTGCTTTGGTTGAGAACACTAAAATGGTGCACTATGCTGCTGCTCAGGGGCCCAATGCTACCAACTAATGTTTATTACTTATATATTCTCCTTATATTTACTTCTGGATTGAAAAACAGTCTTCTGATTTTTTCTTCTTAGCAAAACCTATGAGCAGATCCAAAAGCATAGTTCCCAACAAGTGCAGCAACAGACACTTCCTTTCTGTTAAAGACTGAAACCACACAGTTTCCTGTACCATAGGAAGTGATAAGCTCGGAGCTGAGAGCCACAGACAAGCCGAAGCACTGAGACAGACACATTGTATGCTTTGGCCTTTTCATTGGAATTGTTGATAACTATAGCATAGACAATATTGCCACTCTTATCCTTTAAAAAAGGGTTGTATTTACAAAATATGTCTAAAAAGATTTTGTTCTGTGATTTTAGTTAATGAAAGCTCATTTTAACATTATACCAATTACCAATTATATAGTAATGAGTGTAGATGTAGTGTGTGCCACTGGTATGTTTCTGTGTGTCAGTAATCGGTATTTCAGGAATTTACAGTTTCCTCTTTATGTTTCACTTTCACTTTCTCCCTAAAGTAAATGCTGAGGTTGCAAGAGATGAAGATTTTTATGGTGGGGAGGGTGGAGGTATTTCTGCTCGGGTGTGACTTGTTCCTGCTGCATGTGTAACGTGTTTCTCATAGTTCTCCTGCTGCTCCCTCGCTCCCCTTTGTTGTCTTTGCGGAAACAGGGACAACCCTAATGAAACACTACAAAACAGAGGCATTGCAACATTTTTCTGCTTCTAGTTGTGACCGAGGATAAAGAATGGGGCGGGTCTCTGTTCACTGGGAGAATCCTGCTATACAGAGCCACAAACTGCAGCTGGATCAGTGATTCTTCACACACAGGAATTATGAATTGCTCCTCTTACCTGCAGGACCAAAAGAAAGAGAATGTAAGTGAGTATTACAAAAGCACCCAGCAGTGTCTGAGGTTTGTGGAGGGAATGTGCTGTAGTTTCAGGGCTGGTGTAGGAATGACAGGCAAGTCATCGACATTTGCTGTCAGCTTTCCAGACATTAGCAGTTCAACGCTATAAAGAAAGCTTAGAGCTCAAATGGATCTGAAAGATGGAGGGGTTGCTACTTGTTTATTTGCAGGTTTTATGTTCAGTTTAAGTTTTAATATGTTTTAAAACCACCATGGCTGACAAACAGTGTTGTTTATTTGTCATCCACACTCAGTGGTGAAAAGCTTAAGTTTCTGTGTTATGTGCAATGAAGGCATCATTCTCCTATGTTCTAGGGAAGATGCAGAATTAGAGTATAATAAAATAATGAGAGTTCCATGGAGGACATTACATGTCCCAGGAATTCTCTGTATTGTTTAAAGTGCCCATGACATGCTAGTTTCCAGCCATTTAATATTTAATCTGGGGTACCTCTAGATTATCTTGGCACCCATCATAACTCCAAATAGTCTGTAATTGTTTTTAGAATGATAAAACCAAAGGGCCTCTTCCTAAAAATGACAGGATAGTTTATGCACGTGCACAACTCCTGCTGCCGGTGTTGTGTCGAAAGTGGACAGCAGAATGAACCACAACAGCATTAATTAATTTGAATTCCTCCTCCATAGATATGTAAACAACAGTATATGTACCGATAAAAAGAGATTTGTAACACTCTAAACAAAGCAGGTAATTGAGAAACCCATTATTTTAACTGGCATAATGCAGACATAGTAACTTCTCCAGCCTTACAACAATTATCTCAAATGTTACAAAAACAACACATTAACAAACATGAAATGTGTGTTTTTCTAAACTTACCATTAAGTCCCACCGAGTAGTGGAAACATCGCTCCCTTTCAATAACATCATGGGTCATTAATCCTCTTGTTAACCAGCAACACATCCCATACAGCAGACACACTGGCCTCAAACAGTCGAAACAACCAGGTACTGTGCTCTGGGGGAATCCAGCATTGAGGAGCTGATCATTCACCACCCCAAGGGGCTTCACTGGTACGGCTGCTTGTAGGTTAGACCTGGTCAGGTAAAGCAGTGAGTCCCTTTACAGGAACATTCCCAGACATGCAGTAACCTCAGGCCCTGTATTTTTCTCCACATCCTCTGGTCACAGTGCAGCAGCAGGATGGAAAATATATCCACAAAACTGGGCGCAAACAAAAAATTCCATTTTTACATTTCCACATGTGGATGTTAGGCAAGCTCACATTAACACACAACTGGCTGGAGAATATGGCCATTCAAGGAAAACCTTAAACTATCATGTAAGACTTAATTTGGTCAGAAAAAAGTCTGAGCGAGAGTTTGCAAGACAATATGAACCAAGTTACTTCTGCATAAAAATACTAGAACATATGAGCTTGAGGTCACGTCTAAGATGATAATTCACCGTTGTAACATTGTAGATAAGTCAGAAAACAAGGAAAAGCATGTCATGGGCCCCTTAAAGTTCCCATAAGGTTTTTAAACATCAAAGATGAAAGTAAGTAAAGGAGTAAAAGAACAGCATTTTCCTCAGAACTGTGGAAGAGATCATCTGTCTAACAAATCAGAAATGGTTAACAAAGTATCTAAAATGTATAGTTAATTACAGTATTTCAGCAAATATACTCTTCATCTGTTTTTCCATCCAATTTAATTTACTCAAACATTTCCAGTTAGATGATGTGTTGGCTGTTCTCCAGTAAGCATTTATGAGGAGCAGCACATTAACAGTGGCCCTGTTCCATTTACTAAGAGTGCCAGGAAGCCAGTGATCACACCTGCAAGTGAAGGTGTCCACAACCAAATGTCAGTGTTGATCTGATCTGCAAACTTGTTTCGCTTGCAGGCTCAGCTTCAGGTTTGCCTACATCTTCTCTTATAACCTGTTCCAGTTCTGTGGACACACTTGGATACTGGCTAACACCATAGCCAGGTTTCTCACATTTGGTCAAGGTGAGGTTGATCACATTTCAGATAGCAGCAGACAGTATCAGAGGAAACTGCTCAGTGGACACGAAAATATGGATCTGAATCTGAAACATCTAAAGCTCCTTAAGAAAGACCAACTCTTTAAATCATTATTGATTGACAGATGGAATGTGTTAACATGATAAAATATGGTTTGTGAATTTGCAGATGCCTTAGCAGACACATTCTACTCTGTCGGATTTGTGATGAGTCTCTGCCAGCTGCTCTCCATTCTGGAGCTTTTCCATATCGCAGATGGGATTGAGAAAGCCAGGCTCCTTCCTCGCTTCGTGCAAGTCTGTTTTACAGCTCTACCGCTTACCACAATTTCATCATGTTATCAAACATACAAGCCAAAGGACCGCTTACCAGAATTTCATCATGAATCATGTTATCAAACATACAAGCCAAAGGTCTTATTCACATGAAACAGCTGATAGATTGTGCATGGTATTTGGATCTCAGGTGATGGAGAAGAACCTCCTGCTGGTCATGGTCATCTTGTTGGAGGAGTTCCAGAGTAAACCGGTCGTGTGTATCCAGTTCTTCTTGTGGAACATTTTGGACCTCTTGCGGTGTGCACTTATTTTTTCATTTCTCTTCATCTATTCTTTTCATGCTTTTTGTGATAAAAGGCAACTTCAGGTCATAGCAGCACCAGCAGAGCGTCTGTCAGATGTTTACATTAACTTCAGACATGCAGTATTCTGTACATGGCCATACATGTGTTCAGTCAAGGGTGTCTTTATCTGTGAAATGGTTTGGTCTAAACCCAGATATCTTGTCATTTACTGAAGTTTGCTATGAACATTCATGGTCCTCAGAGAATAAACACATTGTTTTGGTGAATTGAGTATAAAATTCCAAATTGATTGAGTCTTCATGCTCTTCACAGGACGAACTATCGTCACTGTAGGGCATGCCATGGTATTTCACAGTGCCACCCTCTCACTACATGGTGAAGATTGGCAAACTGTTGCTAATTTACACATCTGGCAGTTACAGAGCAACATTATTGTTCATTCGGAGTCATCTTTTTGGCTACCTAGCAACAAGTCTAATATTCACGCTGTTTTAGCACAGTTTTTGGTCTCTACCAACACCTGAGATAAATACCTGGGTCTATAAATGCTAAATGCTCCACTACATTCATCAGCTAGTTTCTAGCTGTCAAAAACATGAGAGTGGTGAGAGCAAACCAAAACAGCACCATTAGAGACTGGACAGTTAAACAATGAGCTCAAAGAGGCAAAAAATCTGTGTGAAAGTGGGGGGAGTTGGAGATTCAAGTAATAGTCATCTTTCAGTACATGAACAAGTCCTTTCACATTACATATCATCTTTTGATTCATTGTCATAATAAAAACACTAAACAAAAACCCATCAAACATCCTTGCAAGTGATCACTAAAATTTAAACCTGCATTATTTCTTGTTTACTTGGGCATCATGAAACAACATCACTGAGCTCAAAGAGCATAAAGCTCTGCAGAGCTGGTGATGCTTCCCAGTGGGTTCATCACCATGAGTTACTTGACATTACATAGGCATTTAGGCAGAGTAAGAACGCCTCTGTTGGAACTTCTTACTAGCAGCATTCTGACATAAGTGACTGCATATTCATTAAGAGCAGGTGTATGACTTATAGCAGCTATTTCTAAACCTTAGTGAACATGTTGATGTGTGTTTGATGACAGGTACCCACATGAACTACTACTGTGTGTTATGGATACACCCTCCATTGCCATGCTGTGGACTCGCTATACTCTCTGGATCCCCTTATATGTTCTGTCAGTCATCAGTGAAGGTTCTTATATCTTTTCGTTATCTTCAGTTTTACAAAAACAAACAAAATGGCTAAGCGTCCTTAAGAATGTGTCCCACTAAATTTGGGATCATACTGAGTAGCTCTATTGCAGCTGACCTGACACATGCTGAACAATATGAGGCACTTCGTGTCAAATACTGCTATTGCTTAAGGGAAGTAATGCACATACAGGAAATGAGTTAGCAAAGCAGAGCCGATGATAAAATGTCAGGAAGTGTGAGGAAAGCACATTTCAGTGAGAGTGTGTGATAGAACATGACATTTCACTGCAACCACACACACTAGTGAAGCTCTAATATATCAGGAACACAGAGGGAAGTGGTCAGACAGCTACTCACTGCTGGCATACTGTGTCTGTTCAGAACAACAGAGCATCACCATAGTAGAAAGTGTCCGTCACTGGACCACAGCAGATCATTTTCTAAGGGTTTTAAAAATCCTTTAGTCAAGTTTTTCAGTGTGGTCCATTCCAGATGTAGCATTGACTTTTACAGAAGGTTTGCCTTTTTGATGTGACAGTTTCTGCTGGTGACTTTGACTGTTTGTCTGCTTCAGGTGTCACTGTATACCAGGCCCTGCCTTACATTGAGCAGGTAGTATCGCACTCTGCTCCACTGAGGTTGACAGTGACAACACATCTTCACCTGCCCCTCATCCTGATGGTCTACCTGCCTGTCCATGGTCTTGGTAAGAACATAAAAGAACAGCTGAGGTGGGGGCGTGTTGATTCAGGCATCTGTTACACACTGATAAAGTCAGGTATGAGTAACAGAATGTGAATTTCTGTGTTAGAGAGGCTCAGAGAAGTTGTTACTTTCTGTCTGAATATGCATTCAGTCAACAAGACACAACATGTATTTATGCCAAGCTCACCATGTCCTCACTCCAGCTCTGTAATTAGCACAGAGGCAGGACTGAGCACAACCTTCTCATCACAGTTTTGGGAAGAAACTCAATAAGCATATTTTCCAAAAATTTGAACCAGTCCCTTAAATTAACAGTATAGGTATTAATAATTCAACTTTAAATTTTTTAAAAAGAAGTAACTGTCAGTCGTTACCAAGTTAAAGGGTTACTGGTTAATGACTGAAGTTACTACTAAGTCAGATCGTAGTCCTGTTTGTTCCTGCTGCCTGATCACAGCCTTGCACAGCCAGAAATCAGCGGTGTGTTGCTTAACATGCCTCAACTTGTAGCAACTCCAAACAAAGGGACTACAGACACTTTATTACCAAGGAATTCATTACCAGTGCATTTGGAAGCAGCTCTACCATCTTAACACTACTGTTTTATTAATGCCTTAACAGCAAGTATTTTGTTTACAATTGAGTTTGTACTTAAAATATCTAGACAATATTTGAGCAAATTATGTAACAATCATCTTTTTAGCAGCTGTCATAAATGTGCCATAAATACAGACTAACTATGGACAAACAACTGTGCACACACTATCTTGTTTTTGCCAACTTTGTAACAGTAGTGATGCCTTTTCAGGAGCCTCTGTAACAGTCTGGCAGCTGCTGAAGGAGAGACAACACCACGTGGAGAAATGGAACAAGAAGATGAAAAGGAAATGACTCAATTAAACTGAATGTTTGGATGCTTCCTGAAATTTCTCTGAACAGATTTTTGTAGATTTTTTTAAAGGACTATGAAAACTTCAATTGAAGGGTGTTACTTTTTTAATTCAGTCAGTTTGCTTTGTAGCACAGTGGTTAGCATTGTTACCTCACAGTAAGAAGGTTTCCTTCTGTGCCTTGCTGTGCGGAGTTTGCATGTTCTCTCTGTGAAGTAGAGCACAGTGGCAGTGCAGTCCGAAACAGTGGGAGGTCGGGGTAACAAGTCTGCCACATTCTTCAAAACCAGAGGAGGCAACACTAGGAAACCAAACAGTGATCCAGCAGAACCACAGGTTTTGTTCAGTGCACAAGGAATAAAGTACCATATGGGGGTTTATTCCTTTGAGAGCCAGATTTATTGATTTCAGGTTTAGTTATTGTTAATGTTAGTGTTAATGAATCCATCTCAATTTAATTCATGTTGACATTGAGAGAAAATCTCAATGTTCTCTCTAAGGCCATTAAATTGAAAGCTGAACATTCTGCTGTTTGAGGTCAACTGAGAGTTCAGGCACATCTTTCTTCTAAGACGGATCCCCCGAAAGCATACAAAATAATAAAATAGATTTCTTTGAACATCAAACTTCTGTCATTCTTGTGACTTCTATATTATCTGAGTCTATGTGAGAACTTGTACGTTTTGTGTTTTATGAGCAGGGTGCTATCCCCAGTCTGCAGACACAGGATTTGATTCACAGTGCGCCGCTGTGACAATAACACATTTATAGAAATGTCCCAGAACCCCCCTGTGCCCAGTTGCATGATTGTCCATAGTTAATAATCATACTTTTAATTTAAGGATATGCTACTGTTGTGATGTGTACTAACCGACTTTTAGGTAAATACTTTTACATTCCAGTGCCTCCCACTGCCTTAATAGCAGTAGTCATTTACAAAATAATAGACAGTGGGAGTAAAGCAGTGGAGAAACTGGGCACCATTTTATTTTAAGTTCACTGGGATGTTATTTCCAGCAGATTATAAAAGCATTAGAAGCAAAAATAAACTCTTATCACATCAAGAAGAACATCAACAACATCAAAGAATCACAATTAGTTAAATATGGTGTCAACTAAACCGCTTGTTCAGCTTCTTACAGGTTTTGCACATTATTATATCTTATACTAATTATCATTATGTGCTTATTATCTTATGTAAAGCCTTATGAGCACTTTACAGTAAGTGCAGTGCTGCCACCATTTCTATATGATGGTTGGTCTCCAACCCAACAGTTCTCAGTCCCACAACCAGCTGCAACAATGATTTGCTCTGGGCTCGACCCTTTGAGCAACGCCTTTCAAATTACCCATCACACATTTATTGGTAAAATTAGAAAGAAAAAAACATTGAATAGTGCAGCTCTAAATTCAGTCATGTGGACCACCATCTCCACAAACCTCCTTACAAATATGAATGAAAAAACAAACTATGCATTCTGATATTGCACATGTATATTTTAATTGATATCTATATTTTAAAGTGAAAAATTCATTGTTCTACAGTGAACAGAGATGAAACGGTGGGGACAATACAAGAGCATGCAGTACTCTTTACTACCCTGAGGCCTTACATGCTCATAATACAAGTGTAATGCCACCTCCACTGCACACTGGCCAGTGCATAGACTAACATCCCCACTGACAGCCACTTTTTGTGGAGACAACTGAAGATTGATGTCTCTAACTTGAGCACCAAATTGTAAACAGAGCAGAGGAGAATACTGAAGATATTGCCTGGATAGCCACACATTGACTCGGTACAGTGTGAAGGCAAAAGAGACGGCTTTCTCTCAGTCTCTGTCCCCACGCAGAGCCACAGGCATTTCCATGCTGTCACACTGAAAATCAATGTGTATGCTTGCATGTGAACTGTAAGTTTTTTAAAATCAGAGACTGGACTGATAAGATGTATGCAAGTGTGTGTGTCTATACCTGTATATGATGTTTGTACAATACCTAGTTATGCAATCATAAGTTACATAACTACTGATCATATGGTGTGCAGAGTTTGCATGTTGTCTCTGTGCCTGTGTGGGTTCTCTCTGGGTTCTCCAGCCTCCTTCCACAATCCAAACAATGCAGCTTAGGTGGCTTAGGTCCAAAGACTCTAAATTTCCCATAGGAGTGAGTGTGGGTGTTTTCTTCATCTGTGATAGACTGGTGTACTCCACCTCTCACTCAATATCAGCTGGGATTGGCTGCAACCCCCCACCGAGACCCTGTTCAAGATAAGCAGCATAGCTCATGGATGGATGGCGTATGCTTTGTTAAAAATATATCTAAGAAATAATCTTGAACTGAGAGGCCACAAACTCAAATTTACCACCACACTATTAAATAGTTTCCGTTACTCTTTTAATGAAAATATCGTCTGACAGCACACATTCCTCTTGACATCAGTGTCACATCATTGAAGCAGAGCTACAGTGGCAGTGTAGTTTCTATTTATGCTCATAAATGCTACAAGTCTGTGCTCCATGTCCAGCTAGCTCAGACAGGAATGATGCCACTTGTGTGTTAAAGCTTCTGTTTTTCTGCAGACATCCTGTACGTGTCACCATGGTAACAACAGGTTGTGGCTCCTCTAGACTACCAGCCATAAGCTCTGGTCCACACAGCTTTCTTCTTGAACTCAGCAGAAGACTTTAAGACCAACAGGGCGGCTGAAACAACACAAGAACAATCTGATGAACTACTCTTCTAAACTTTTGACCTTTGTACGTAGTTTAAACCCATGTCTACACTGCTAACAGAACATGTATCATGTCACGTGTCCTTGTGTGCCTGCTAGTGGAGCACAACCTTCTCTGCTGTGTTTGTGAGGGTCAGTGTTTCAAACTACTCCTGTCTAAGTACTATGTATTGTATGAGCCATCGCACTTGTGTTTTTCACCTTTGGCTGCGCTAATGGTCTTGGCTGACACATTCTTCTCAGGAACTTCTGCGATGCTGAGAAGCCAGTCTATGAACTGACACACAAACACACACACACACACACACAAAAAACTGTACTGAAGCTTCGACTGAAGAACTGAGCAGGTCTATAATGTGAATAGATCTTTAATGGAGTGAAGGTGCTGGAAGCAGAAACACTAACCTTGTGTGTCTGGCTGCTCCAGGGCTCTTTGTCCAGAAGCAGAGCCAGGCTGTGGGACAATCCCAGCAGGCACTGGGGCAGGGCGTGGTCAGTGAGTGACTCCACACCGTATAGACTATGTGTTAAGGCTGGGGGCTTGGATCCATATTGCCATGGGAACAGCTGGGCCCTGATGCCAAGTAGGAGGGGCATGGAGTGGTCCCCCCAGGAAACTACAACAGCAGCAAAGATCTGGAACAGGAAGTCTGTGCACTGCAGAAAAATGACATAAGGGAATCCACTTTTAGCTTACCCAGCTCAGGGTTAAAAAAAACTGCCTGGAGAGTTCAACCAGGCTTCAATAATTTTCCAGAATATGTTCAATGACCTACTGTGCATCTGTACAGAGATAAGAGTAGAGTAAGAGCAAAAGGAACTGGAACAAAACAGGAGACAATAAACATCTTCTGTTGAGGTACAATGCAGTTATATTTTGTGTTACTTTGGTAATAAAATCATGTGACAACACGCTAAAACTAGTGAAGCGCAAATGGAGAAGAATCATAAAGTCAGCGATGGTCAGTGATTACTGATATTCCACACCAATATCTAGTTCAAATTAACTAACAAACAGCAGCATGGTGCCTGACAACCAGAATCCCACCTGTTTGGTGTCTCCAGAAGTCACGGAAGTGGCACCGTAGGCAACATTTCGGATGTGGCCCATCAGCTCCAGGAGCCACTCCATTCTTTTGGAGACGCCTATGACAGAGAACAAACCATCTCATCATGCAAAAATGGATGATAAAACAGAACAAATCCACACATCTGTTCACATGGTGCACAGACAGAAAAAGCCATAGAGAAAATACTGAGACCATACGGTAGCTATAGCAGAATGCAAAGCATTACCATTTGGAAACTTAATGGATAGTATTTTCTTTCACACAATTTATTTGTGACTACAAATATTAGGAGAGAAGAATATTATCACTTATGGAGGTACTTCCACTTTATTCATATGATGTGAACGCAGCAGAAGCTTTCTAGCTCAGCTCAGCTCTGATCTGACCTGTGGTTGAACTGGCAGCCAGGCGACACTGATAGAAACTCTGTAGTAGGAGCCAGCCTACTCTGCGTCTCGGCCAACCACGAAGTACACCAGCGATGACATCATTGAGACCCAGGAGGGGAACTCTGCCCTGAGAGGTGAGGTAAGCCAGGACGAAGCAGGTCTTCTCCATCTGGGTCTAAACAGAGGCACCATCACACACGGCTTCATCAGCGCTGCAGGTTAGAGGTGGAAACAAGTGCCATCTCACTGGGCTTTGGTCAGTACAGCATCATCAGTACTGTATGAAGGCCAGAACTACCAAATAATCCCGTAATATTAGAATGTGGTTTTGGTTAAAATGACTGAATATGATGTTAAACAGGATCATGTCAGTTAGTGAGACAAACTAAACATTTCTCATCTCATTTGCAGATTTTGAAGACTTTTGATTTGTGCAGTTTTGCATGACCCAATAAAGTGAGATGCTACTAGCAGAAACTGAACTGTTATAGGCATGGACAGCTTATAACAAAGGGCCCCTACCTACACTTTCAGAAGCAAGGCTCACAGACTGAGCAACCACAAGACTGTCAGGCGATTTGTATGTCTTTTTTGGGGTTGTTTTGTATTTGTTTTTAGCTACTTTGTGTTCATTTTTACTCATTTTGCATCTCTTTATCATCATTTGCACCTATTTTTGCTTGTCTTGTGACTGTTTTGTTGCTTGGCATCTCTCTTCTGGCTTTTTAAATCCACTCTATGTGAAATCTGAATATAGCTGGCTTTTCTGTCTCCCAGTAGTAGCATGAAAAAAGATATTGTGGCAGATGATATCCTCAAATAGTGGCTTTAAATCAGTTTTCCTGTGTTAGACTGAAGCTGAACAGATACTTCTGTAGTTCATTTAATTTGACAGAATAGCTTTAAAGAAATAGTTCTGCTTAATAATGTTTGCTTTCTGAGAGTGAGATAAGAAGATTGGTATCAGTTTTATTTTGGTATGTTAAGAACAGGAAATGATTAGCCTAGCATGAAGTCTGGAAGCAGGAAGAAACCGTCATACTGTACCTCTGTGACTCGAGTGATTCGCTCAATCTCGGTATCAGACATCTCAGACAGACATTTGGTGATTCCCACATACAAATCCACTTCACCATCCTAAAACAAATTAATTCATCATCAGTGTAAAGAGAGTTAGATGACTGGCCTGGTACAATTAGCTTATACAGGAGTGTTTTTAAACTAGAATAAGCTACGTTTAAGGCTACCCTGAAAATTACACATGCAAACAGTAAACATTTAAAATGTCTTAAATGTTAACTGTTTGGATGTAAGACTGTAATTGCAGTTTTAACTTTAAGCCCTGTACATGGCTGAACTTTACTATGTATATAAACATGGAACATAGTTGAATTATCAGTTGAGGAGTAAATGCAAATGAACAGTCTGCAGCACAATACAAGAAGCTGTAATGTAACATGCACCGTGACAGAAGGAAAACATTTTGTTGACAGTATTTGAACAGTAAATAAAGAAGTTGGTGTCCATTAAGGTGAAGAGGCTGGACTGAACCATCAGTCGAAGAGTAAGTGATGAAAGGAGCAGAAGTTCATTTGGAGAGAATCAGATGGCTGTTGTGTCTAAGCCATGAAAGCAGCTGAAGTGTCTGTTGTCAACTAAGATGAATTTTAACAGTTAAAGAATAAAAATGTAGTTTTAAAGTATTCATATGTAGTGGTTGAAAGCACTTGACTTGTCAGTGAAAGTGTAAACAATAAATGAAACTGAAATAACCTCTGAAGGTGAAGTGCTGCTGAAAATGCTGAGACATTTGAAATATTGCAAGCAGTTAAACAGAGTAAGAGACAGCTAACATTTCAGCTGAAGATGAGGCACCAATTGAAATGTGTGCACTATAAATACAGTAGATGAAGTGCCAGTTACCTGAACAGTGACAGCAGTTAAAATGCAGTTGTACTTCAAGTATTTGAAGAGTCAGTTTAAGAAGGAAAATTAATTCAAGTGACAGATAAAATGTGGAAACACTCATTTTGTACCTGAATTTCGTTGGGCAGGAGATTGAAGATCTTCTCACTGGCAGTGCAGAGGATGGTCCAGCAGTTGTTTGGGGGGTTTGGGAGGGCCATGGCCTGAGCGAGGCCCTGCAGCAGGGAGCGGCACAGGGACAGACGCTGGGGTCGAAGGTCCTCCTGGAACTGCTGCAGGCCAAGACTCTCCATGTAGACCTGCAGCTTATCCTCAGCAACATGCTTCATCCATAAACCCAGGGTCTCATACAGGTAGGCCCGGGTCGGGTACTGAAGAGAAACAGGCCCCACAGATACAGTATCTTATTGGTAGAAGTGACCATCAACACCCTGTATTTTTTGCTGCAGAGGGAAATGTTTTTTAAGACTGTCAAGTACTGACAGCTGACCTTGGCTGTTTGGTCAGGGCTATAACCTTGTTTACTTATTTCTTTTCTTAAATGAGAATTTCTCTAATTTCAGGCCATTTTCACTAGGTATCAGTCAAATTCCTTGTGTGTCAGACACACCTGGCCAATAAAGCTGATTCTGTACTGCCTGTGTTCAAACATATAAGAGCTGAGTTCAGCAGAACAACATAATTTCATGTTTCGAAGTAAAGAACAGAAAAAAAACATTGTTTGGGACAGGTACAGATACTCCTGTGAGTGCATCACTAGTATGGGAAATTTTCAAACAGCACAACTAATAGGTGCAGCTCAGACTGACAAACAGTTTTGGATCTTCAGGCTCTGTGCTTCAGCACATTCAATGTGAAATAAAATATTGGATGATATATTGAAGTAATTTGAGTCTGCTTTCATCAGTGTAGAATGACCTGGGTGACAGTATTGGCTTCTTAATACATAGCACCCAAAGAACAAGGGTTGAAAAGTAACTGAACACATGGCTACTAATTGTTTCTTAGACAGCGGTGTCATTTCACCAAAGAGCTCAGATGTCACTCAGAGCTGACAGTTGACATTTGCAGCCGATTGAGGCGCAGCTGTCCGTCAGTATAAGTAAAGAGGTGATCCTACAAGTGAAGTTCATAATGAAACTGATGTTGCTTGGTCAAAACTGGCAGTTGGGTTTGTTCTAAAAAAGCAACTGTGCACAGAAAAACTAGAAAATGTAAGAAAAAAAAAAAAACTTGAGTAGGACCGGTTATCAGCCCTACTCAACAACTTACACTGAGACTGTACACAAGGGGTGGTGAAAGCCAGGAGCCCAGAAAGAGAGATGCACTCTGGGAAGACTGAGCTTGACATGCTGCCAACACCACACACTGATGCTGCACATCCTCTCCTGTCAAAGAAAAAACACTGGAGCCTGATACCTTGACTCAGTTTATTATTATTATTATTAGTGTGCAGATTTATGACCCCCCTGAGAGCTCTTACCAAAGCCGAGCCTCATCACAGGAGACAGAATGGCGTTCCAGTTGATGGGTGGGTACTGAAAACTGGCCCCAACTGATGCCAGGGGGGTCAGAGTGGTCTTAACCAGAGCTGGATGAGAGAACTCTGGACCTGGTTCCACAGGAAGACAAGGACATTCCCAAAAGTTTAAATACATCAAGTCCTTTGAACTGTTAGTAATATATTTAACTACATGATATTTTATGTATCTGTGCTACGCTTTTCAGTTAACTACACCAGTGTACAAACCTTTCTTTCCAGCCTCTGTGATGAAGTCAGCGATGGCTCTGATGACACTTTTCTCTGAGAGGTAACTGAAATCCTGAGGAACTGTTACGATGACAGGAGAACACAGAAGAAAAGAAAAAAAACCAAAAACAAATCAAACCAAACAGCAGCTTCCCATTTGGGTGACTGAGTCTTTGCTGGAGGACAAAGACTCTGGCATTCTTGGACATCAATGACCCCAGAACTAAAGAGATGGTAGTGAATCATCCCTCCCTTAGTTATTAACAATCAGGTCATGGAGTCTGTACTAGAACAGAAATATCTTGGCACCATCATCAATAATAAGATGACTTTTTGGATGTAGTCAGTAAAAGGGTAACGCCAGCGTATGTGGAAACTAAAGAACTTTAAATGTTCACAATACCTTTATGAAAATGTTTTACTGAATCTGTCCTTATGTTTGCTTTTATCTGCTGTTTGGGTCACTGACTCTTAAAAATCGTAACAATGCCTAACGTAACCCTAACACAATATGTAGTACACTAGTTGATGTTTTTAATGTTATTTATTTGTTGTTTACTGTTATGGTTGTGTGATTGCCATTGGCTGTAAAATGATTTGCCCCTCGGGGATAATAAAATTGTCTGAAACTAAACAGGTTCCGGGTCATTCTAGATATCAAGTGAAGACAAAAAAGTATGAAATGGTGCACAGCTGGACCAGACTAAAGGAACAAAAAAACATTTACATTACCTGCTGTGTGGCTGTGACTGGTGGACATGTGGGCCAAATGCAAGTGACCCACCAAACAGGTACAGTTGGACTGCAAACCAATGGCTCCGGAGAACTTGATGATCTGTAAGAGAGACCAGAACAAATAAAACTAATAGTCTTGTTATGGCAATTAACAAGTTACTTTATGCAAAATCTTGTGTGGAAGTTGAACTATTGGTCTAAGGGTGGCACAAGATGAAGGACACCAAGAGCATCTGAATCACTACATGACAAGCTTGTATTTAAAGGTTTCACAGAGTTGTCCTGCAGGTGACCAGAGTACAGCCCATAGAGTATCTAAACCAAACAAACAAAAGTTAAACCTCTGGGGAGCACTAATATGCTCATTTCATGAAAACCTGTCCTGAGGATATTGGGAATTTTGGCATGATGTTAGCAGTACTGACAATAGACTAATTACAGAAATACAATCTATAAACACTGGTACAGTGATGATGCATCAGCAACAGACAAGACCCGTCTGCCCTTACCCGACATGTCCGACAGTAATACTGAAGATATTTTTTAAACAATGAGAAAACTGTAAAAGAATAAGGCTGGTCATTTTCTATATTAACTGTTTTTAACACTCCCCATACAGAGACTAAACTCTGCAGTGATCTGTCTCTACTTATGATTAATGTCTATATATAATGTTTGTCTGTGCCAGAGACCTCCAATGTTGATCAAAAACAATTAAAAAAAAAACACATTAGGGAAACACAATGCTACCCAAGGTGACACATTTCCTCAATAAAAATAAAAAAACAGAGGAGCCTAATATTTGTTAAGAATATCCAGAGATCTTGTGCATGGGCCCTTGACTCCGGCTGCAAAAAGCCACGTCCCTTTGGAGCCTCTGGGGCATCATTTTGAACAAATATCAGGGTCTGGTGTTTCACAATGATGAAACATGTCAACCAGTGCAGTGGAGTGTTTTTAATGGAGGTCTACGGCACATATGAATAAGCTAATCCAGTTCTGATTGACAGACATTAACAGTGAGTAAAGGCAAATCACTGTTGGTTTTAGTTTGTTTAGTCTGTACTGAAAATCTAGAAATTGACCAGCCTTTGTCCTTTAAAAAGAAAATGAGTTGGCATTACCTGTGTGATGGCTCGAATAACCTCATTGAGCCTGCTCTGCTGCTGGACGGAAAGCTCCAGCTCACTTTTAAGCTGCAGTACAAGACAAAAGTTGGGGTAATCTGACAGTGGTGGAAACACTCATTGAATCATCAGAGCAAACTCTACTGTCCAAGAAACACTTCACTCCAAAATGAACGTGTTTCTTTAATCTACTGCCTCAATATTTTGCCAGCCAACAACATCTGCACTCTATTATTCTATGGAGAACAAACTTTTGAGACCAAAGCCATTTCTAATGCAATGAAGTGACACTCTTTGATCAACAGCAGAACAGTGCCACAACCAATCAAAACCACTCTCGTGCAGCACAGTTCCACTCAACTGCTCAGCTTAATATGTCTAAAACACAATGTTTTGTTCTTAATAACAAAAACAGGAGATGGACGAGTGGGGTTTTTTTTTTTTTTTTTTTACCTGAATGAGGTAACTCTCAGATCCCACTAAGGCCACCAGGCCGCTGACAGCAGCCAGTCGCTGCATAGTGGGACAACCCTGAAACATAAAGACAGATCCTCTGCTGAACTCGCACACTAGGCTATAACTTGTCAGTAGGTGAAAATAGTTATCAAAGGAGTATAAATAAGAGTGAATGACAGACATGCATACAAATACCTCAGCCAGTAAGATCTTGACCCAAGCAGCCAGCAGACGAGGGTGGATGTCCTCTGCTTTACCATGACCAGACACTGACAATCCGTGGACCGCCAACCCTAGAGCCAAGGAGAAGCCTGGGGTCTGAACACATACATAAAAACATTGAAAATCAGACCATAGAGACCGTCTACAGTTCTACTTAGTGCAGTGCTTAAGTAAATGTACTGAGTAACATTCCAACCCTGCGGGTCATCCTCTTTTAATAAGACTTTTTCTGCTGCAACACGACAAGCTGGCCCTAAAATTCACAATCTCACCGACACCCTCTCCTGCTGACCTGCTGGCTTTCTTCAGTCAGGCTGCGCAGAGTGTTCATGACCTCCTCAGCCTTGGCAGCATCGATCAGACCTCCAGTGAACGCTGAGACGCCGACACACGCCACAGAGTATGCCAAGACCTGCACAGGTGGCAATGTTTTTAAAAAAGCATCTTCAAATAGTATTCAAACTATGTAAAACATTACATTCATTAAATACTGGAACAATGATGCAGTACGTTTTTTGGCATTTGGCCTCTGTACGCCATAAAATGTCAAACTTTAGGCACGGTGGAAATCCTTTTTTGTTTATTACTACAAAAATCCCCTTTAAGACCTTTAGCACTTGCAACTGCAGCTGTAACCAGTGAATACTAATGAAGTCTGTCTCCTGGTGAAGAAGCATGCGAGTGTTGTACTGTACCTCCTGCTGCATGCGTCCCACCCCACTGCTGTCCTGCAGGTTGGACAGTAGTTTATCTAGTGTCTGGGTGACATGGGCGTGCTGGTCTGTCGATCCACTACCGCACAGAGCCACCAACACCAGACCCAGACCCAACATACAGCCGGTACTGAGGCAAGGAAAGAAAGAGGAGAGCTCAGGATAAAAGAAGCTAAATAGCACCTATCCAAAAACACAGGCCCTCAGAAATCTGTATGTGAAGTCTTTCCTGGAATGTTTGCATTCTTTTTAGACTTTAGATTAAACTGTAAGACAGTGTCTTCACTGACTTGTATTCTAGGTTGGGGTTGAAGGAGCAACTTTCCAGAGTGTGCAGAGAGTTGAGTAGGAGATCTGTCTCCTTTTGGACAGAGACATCACTGGATAACAGAGAGAGACAGGCAGGTCAAACTACAGTCTATCAGTGGTGGATAACAATGTGTCAATACCTTTCTGTGTTTCAATCAATACTCTGAACACACACTCCTTACCTGAGGCCTTGGTGATACAGACTGGACAGCACCATGCCCAGTGCGAGGCCAGAGTGGAACTGGACAGCCTGGGAGTCATCAGCGGTGGGTGCACCTGGGAGGCCGGCCTGCAGCACTGACAGGACCTGAACCAGACCGTCCCTCTGCCACACCACCAGCACTGGGACCAGTAGGGACAATGCCAGACTGGCACAGGAGCGAGCTATGGCACTTGCTGTGTTCTCCCCTGAGTAGGAACGCTGAGAAAGCACAGGATGTCACGTGTTTGTTATTGGGTCTGCAGAATTTCACTCCAGTCAAAGCATCCAGAATATTTTCAGGTCTATCTTATAACAATACTAACATGTACATCTGTATAATGATGTTTTGGTTGATGTAATTATTTCTTCTGTCCATACTGGCTGTGAAGTGATCATTTCTTAACTCCACTGATCTTCCATAAAAAAGTATTCCTATGTATTAAGGAGTACTACTGCATATGTGAAAAAAGTTGCATAAAAGTCAATTTGTACTCAGTGTGTCCTTTGGACATTACCTTGCGTCAGTGTGTGCTGTTCACATACCCATAATACAACCATTACTTAAACATGCATCAGGTTTTCTGGAGTTCACAGCACTTTCACAACATACTTCCTTGCTCTGGTCTTGGCCTCATAGTGTACAACACAATGTCAGTATAACAAGGAAACTGCACCTTAGAAACCTGAAACCTTTGTTGTTTCCTTCAGTTCCTGCAGCAGTTTCTTGCCTAGAATCACATTTTTACAAACAAGAAGCAACATGGAGTTTGTGTGTGTTTAGAATGAAAACATGCACATGCTTGGCTCGGGTTCAGACAGCACTGATGCTGGGAATCTTGCTGTGTACTAAAGTATGTCTTGTTTGTTAACCAGCTGTTGTGTAAAGCTAACACAAAGCTGACAAAGGTTGAGGATATCTGTTACTTAAACCAGTGGTTTCATGTTGTGTGATATACTGTTTGAAGTAGTCTGTTTAGTGTTCACTTGTAATTTGACAGGTAGGTTGTAGTTTGGTTTTATTTAAATCTGTAGCAATGAAAAATGTTAAATAAATACTTTTATCTGATAAATATTCATGGCATTCACTTTACTTTTGGTGCCTAAAACCTTCTGAACAGTAGTGATTTCATAGGTCAAGCCTTAAGAGCAAGATTCTTCAGCTCCACTTGCAGCTTTTAGAGGCTGTCCTGCTCCTTAAAAGCAAAATGGAACAAATCATTTTCTGTCAGTCTCCTTTCACATTAAGGAATTAAGTTCAACCTCATGTGACTGCTGGGAGAACTCTTCCAGACATTTATACTAATGTGATCTCTCCGGCCCCCGACGTAAAGGCCAACCTTCAGACCATTTACACGTTTTGCTCATGCACTAACCTTGCTACATTATGAGCCAGTAGTTTTCTGAGAAAAATATTTTCTCCCATCCCTCTGTGTTTATTTATTTCAGAAACCTGCTCTGTCAAAGTAAAAAATCTGGTGGTTATAGCATTCACTTCCTTAACTGAAAGAAGATTTATTCTTCTCTGCTGGAAGCAGCAATCATTTGTTAAAAAAACCAGATAAAAGATGTTTGGATGGACCAAGTCGCTACCTGCTGTAACCTACTGTACATTAAACCCTGAATCCATGTATTTATAGTTGCGAATAGAGCAGACAAAAACAAAAAAACCCATTAAGTAATAAATGAAAACTTACATGCAGGAACCACGGAAAAACCTGTCCTCTGGCCTTGTAGCTGCTGCTGATGATACTGAGCAGGGTGTCGAGTATCATGGCCAACCAGCTGGCCGAGGGCACAAATTCTGGTCCAGCCTATAACAGCAAGTCAGTAAAAATATGTAGAAAACTTTCTACACAGTCTGTATCTTCTACACTACACCGCCAGCTTGATCCCACCAATGTTTGTGAAACAGACCTCATCTGAGGACCAACATGAGGACACAACTACTGTAGGTAACACAATACAAAGCCTTATGGGAGCCCAAAAGATTTTAAAGACATCTCTGTATCTGACTGGGACAGTGAAGGGACTAGTGTGGTTAAAATAGTTTTTAACAAATGTGCTTTCATTGTTTGTTTTGGTCTGTTTCAGGTCATTGTTGACAAATAGAAAGATAACTATGTTCAATCAATTTTATGTCATTACTTTTTATATCAAATAAACTCACCAGTTACGACCACTAACCAACTTTCTGGAAGATATTGTAAAAACTAACTTTGGTTGTTTGACCATGACAGAGACATTGTATCATAAATGACACAGTGATGAAGTAAAATGTTGAGCACCTTACCCTGAGGCTGCTGTTACTGTCAGTGGGCAGGCCGCTCTCATACTTAGTAAGGACAGCGGCCAGGCCGCTCAGAGCCAGGATGGAGTTTCCCTGTACAACAGGACTGTCCCTGATGAACACAGAACATACAACTGTTAGTACTGACCTGTGAGAATATGTCTGATACTGCACATCAGGGTGTACATCACAGTGCTTCCTGTGAATCTAAAATGTAGCAGCTCACTTGGTAGCAGCTTTGATGACGTCTGCCAGCTGATCTCTGGCCCTGAGAAGGACGAAAGGAAAAAGGAGAGGCAAATAAAGATGAGGGAAAATAGAAAAGATAGAAATAGCAAAACATTGGTTTGACAATCAACACTGAAAGGCTGCTCTGCTAATGCAGTGATGTGTGGAAAAGACAAAGACACACACTCTCCTTTCATCTCAGGCTGGTGCATCAGTCACCTGGCTGACAAAGCAAGCAAGATGTGCGACCTACTGTGTGTATGTATCATATTTTTAATTCATTTGATTGCTAATATTTTGCACTGATGTCTTTACTCTTGAAACTGTAGTTTCATCTGAGTGGAAACATGTCTGAAGTAGCATTTACATGATAGTTTATTCGCTGTATTAGCACCTGTTTTACTATCATCTGTATTTTATACCTGCCACTTCTAATTACTTTATTTTAGCATGCATTCATACTTTCATTTACTGTGTAGACTTATTTAAAATATTCATCTTGTATATATCCTATATGTCTATATATTTTGCTATGTGAGCACAAAAATGTCTCCTGAACTGAACACAAATCCAGCAAAAGTGCAAGTTAACTGCAGTTGCTAGCAAAAATGAACATGTCGCTACAGCTAAACTTGCAGGCTGACACATTATATTGTCCATTTTCTAATTTAAGTGTCTGGGACACTGGTCACCAGAGCTCCAAACTGCACTGCATTCAGAGTGGTACTGTTGTAAATACAGGGTCTCAAACTGCGCTGAACCCTGTCGTCGTGTAATCTTTGTTCCATCATCTCTGTTACTGTACATGTACCATAAAGATCATCAGTGTTTGGTAAATGCACCTGTTAATCTTTTGTTACAGTCAGGTACATTAACATCATTTCTGAGGCACCTCTAGTGCTAAACTGTATTTCTATGTGTGTGCAGCAGTAAATATATCTATGTAAGTGATTCTCACCACAGCCAGGCACAGTGCAGCCTGTACTGCAGCTCCTCCGGGTTTTCTTTGCCTTGTTTCAGCTGCAGTTCCAAATCAGCATGTCGACCCTGAACACAAACACATATCAAATCCATAAAGTCAATAGTGCAAGCAAAGCTTTAAAATCTAAATATTAAGCAAAAATGACGAGACATAAATAAAAGGCAGTTGAGGCCCATGACTGCTGTGCTGTCTGCAAACTTCATGATTTTTACAGAGGGGTCTCCTCATTGGTATATAGGGAGAACATCAGCAGGGAGAGCACACATCCCTGGGCTGTGCTGATAGACCAAGTGCTGGATGTGGTTTTCCCCAGCCTCACCTGCTGCTTCCTGTCTGTCAGAAAGCTAGTGATCCACTGACAGGTGGGGGCAGGCACGGTGAGCTGGGTCAGTTTGGAGAAGAGGATGTCTGGGATGACTGTGTTAAATGCCGAATTGAAGTCCACAAAGAGGGCCCGTGCATAGGTCCATGGGGAGTCGAGATGTTGCAGGATGTAATGCAGTGCCATGTTCACTGCATCGTCCACTGACCTACTGTACCTGTTCGGTAAGCAAACTGCAGGGCTCTTATGTCAAGGTATAGTTCTCCTTTATGTTAACCACAGGAGTGGGTGATGTAAGCCTCAAGTATCACGTGCTTCTCTGCCATTTGGGAGCTCACTCTGACATTGTATGATTGTGTTTTTCCATTAATTAATGCAATAACGAAGGCAACAGCTGACTGATCTTTATTTAATACTTCCACAACCAACACCACTTCTCCTTGCTTTACTTTTACTCACTAGAACCACATACGGTGTCGATCATTTCTTCAGTAAATATATAACTAATCTATTGGGTGTCAGAAGCACAAACCTGTAACACTGCATGGAAGGCTCGGCTCATGAAACCCCTCCAGGCTTGGGGTAAGAGTAGTGCTCTGTGCCATTCAGATGGCTGAATGTTCACCTGCACACCAAAATAAAGCAAAACAAACAGGTGAATTTTTCAGCTGTAAAACTCAAAGAATGCATGAGAGGAAGAGGAAAGACAGGTTTAGATATACCTCATGAATGAGGGCTGTCAAGGTCTGCTGGTAGCTGCGGCTGCGACTGATGAGGAAGCGATCGATTGGTTTCCCATCACGGTCCGTCTGCACAGGCAGCTCATAAGACAGCAGCAGTCCGACTACAAGACACACACACACAATTCAGCTGCAAACAACAAACGCAAACTCAACTCTACTGCATTAGAGCATAGCCAGTTCAGCCTGTTAGGAGGGGAGTAGGGCATACTTTATGTTTCTGAGCCCCTACCATCCCCACTACCACCTGACACCCTTTGTGTTGTATATACTATCATCTCCAAGGTTCCAGGATAACAGTATGGTGTTGCACTTGAGTCCAGTCCAGTACAGCATCAAATTCTGTAAAACTAATTAACACATAGTAAAATAAATGGTCTGGTAAATGGTCTTATACTTGTATCATCACTGGGGGGTTCAGTGTCTTTCTCAAGGACACATTGACATGTGGACTGCAGGCACTGAGATGTGAAACATATGGGCACGTTGAGTATACGTCCACTTGTCTAGTGGACAAACCATGTAATGGCACCACCATTTCCATACAACTGCAAACATATCTTTGGCCCTTTGCTACTGATTTTTCTTGTGACATATGAAGATAACAAATGTGTGGCAACCTAAAATAACTTTGACATCACTTACCTCATATGCAAGAGGGTAAACAGAAACACACAATCAAACAAGTCCATAAATATTACACCAAAGGAGAATCAGCAGGTCTAAGCGAAATCTGCTCGAAAGCGTCACACAGGTAGGGAATGGATTTAATCACCTGCTAGTCCAGGCTTCAGCCCAGGCTGCTTGTTTTTCTCGTAGGCTTTCAGCATAAATGATGGGATTCCTGCCACTGTTTTACCCTGATCGGATCGCAGGTTAGCTCCCCTTAGGGCAGAGAAGTATACCCCCCGTGGCATCTGGCTCATCTCCTGCTTCACCAGTGACTTCAAGAAGAGCTCGAATGCTGAGAAGAAAAGAGCATCGAGATGAACATCCGCAAAAAGAGGTTTTAACTATGTGATTCAACTTCTCAGAATAATAAGGGGAGACAGTATGATAATGACAGACAGTAGCAAAGGTTCACACCATCCCCCAAAATTTAAGCCTTCCTCTGACAGGATCCGCCAACACTGCCAACTGGGTTTGATGGGGTGCCTGGCCTAGCAGAAGAATGATCTTTGATCACAATACGAGTGTAACTTACAGGGTAGGACAGATATGGGGGTGAGAGCCATCAGCTTCATGTAAGATGAACCTGGGATGGAGAGATCCTTCTCCTCTTCCTCTTCCTCTTCACCCTGTTCATCTTCCTCACCTTCAGGGAGCTTTGTAGCTGGCCTCGCCTACAGAGTGGACAGAGCAGACCAGACCAGAGAAAAAGTAATCATAATCTACAAACTGGCCTCGGCTCACAAAAGCAGTAAGCTGAAGAAAAACTATTCAAAGCACAATGTACAGTTATAGACTTGAGAGTGTTGAGCAGTAGAGCAGGACTCTTACAGCCTCAGGAAGGAAAGTTATTGTGTGGACCACTTCAGGAAAGTCTGCCAAAGCCTTATAGCCACAGCTGGCCACCTCTGGCTCCTGCTTCAGCAAACACACACACACACACACACACACACATATTTATTAGTGTAACTTTAAACATTTACCTGGTGTTCAGCTTAGCAATTGCCTTAAATTCTGTTAAGTTTGGCTTGCAGCAGTGGTTTTTATGTGTTAAACGACAGTTTGGAATTATCAGTCAGACCTTTTAAAATTCTGCAAATTATGGAAAACAATCCTCAGTTAAGGAAAGCCCTCAAGAGGAGGAATACACACACAGCAGATATCTTCAGTACACGGACCTTACACACAGCATAATTCCAGAGAAGACCGACCACCTCTTCTTTCAGTTTCTGGGGAAAAAGCAGACATACAGTAAAAAAAAAAAAAAATGCAAGCACCCAACTACAAATTGTGGCTGTTAAAAAAATCATATCAAATTAAGAAGTAGCAATGTGTATTTCGGAAACATCTCAAGCACAACAAAGATAAGCTGTCCTCTGTTTGACCTGTGTCAACTGTGACTTAGGGGTTCAGACCTCTAGCCACTATTATCACCCCAAGGATTTCAGCTGTGAAGGGGTTTTAACCTCTCTTTTAAAGGGCATCTAAACACCACAACCCAATAATAGAAATAGTTCACCATTTTGAGATACGATCATACTTCTTTAGTAGAGGGAGATGAGAGAACTATCCAAATTTGTGAATGTTAAGTTGGGTCACTTATTCAATAGGCACCATTTCCTATAAATGAATAATTCAATCAGCATGTGAGTGTCCCATGTCAGTACAAAATGGCAGCTCTAGAGAAAAAAAAAAACATTTAAGAGGTTTCGTGTTTGACATGCATTCAGATTTTTAATTTGAGAACTGGTGACAGGTAAAAGGAGCAGACAGATTTGGAAAATCTATAGGCTGTTGCTGTCATGTTTATCATATACCAGAGAAAACACTTAAATTAGCGAATAAAGGTGCTTCTTCATGACGTTGTGTCAGATCAAACATACTGATGGAGTCTGTCGGCAAAGAAGCAGACTACAATTATTTGAGCTTTCATCTGCAAATGACACTGCTAACATTAACTGTGAGGAGGCTTCTGTGCTTTTAAGTTCAACCTGTGAGGTTGGTGGATGTTTTTAGACATCACCACAGTTCATTTCTATACCCATGGAGCGAACTTTGTGTTGAGGCTTGTTTATAATAAACCTTATCACTGTTATCAAAGGTGCTGTGTGATTAAAAATGTCAGTTAATGTTATAACATGACAAGGGTGTGTTACATCGCTCCAAATTCACCCCAAAAGAGAAATTCCATGAGCTTCCAGCAAGATTAAAAACAGTAAAAATGTCCAAGCTATTATGTCATTGTGGGAATGTATTTGCAAATATCAGAATCATCTTTAATGGCCAGGTATGTTTGAACGCAAAGGAATCTGACTCGGCTTTCAATTTGTTGGCAACAGGAAGCAGCAGGTGAGGCTGGGGAAAACAGGAAACAAAAATAAATAAATGAAAAAACTGTACATTCAAATTGGAAATGTGTGCAATCAATAACAGGAAAAGAATGAGAGGAAAAGAGAGATAGCATTGATAAATATATGTACATAGAAATATGCACTTTTTTTTTATGTTATTGAAGTATGACCAGTACGTTTCAGATCTGTCAGGTACAATAAATTCTTTCCGGACACCTGACTGGCAAGAAAAATCCCTAGTGGAAACCCTGCTACTGGAATATATTGACAGATGCCAAAAGTTCCAAAATCTAAAACAGATTACCAGTTAAACGTATCACTTCCATCTGTGGTCTACATGCTGATATACAGTATCTTTACAGCAGCTTCTGTACATGTACTGAACCTGAAAGCCAACAAAGTTACTTTGAAAATACTGAGATATGTGACAAAAGATTTCACAAGTACAGTATAATAGCCATTATTGATCTGCATAAACCATATTAGGGTTAACTGACTCCAGTTCTAACATTTTCATCTTTTTTAGTGTATCATTGTCATTTTCACGAATGCTGTAGCTCACACCAACTGACATGAAGACACAGAAACGCACAAAGTTCTGACAGTAACGCACATTAAACAGAAGCTTTCATGAAGTAGATCAGGTACCTCATACTGCTCTGACTTGACAGTGAGCTGGGGAACCAGAGCCAGCAGCTCAGCTATGGCTTTGACCATCACTGGACGGGAGTCGCAGCTGAGCTTAGGCCCAAGACTCCTCCATGTTGAGATGATGTCTACTACCTGCAAACAAGTGCCATGAAACTTAGAAGCTATGTTTACTGTATGTGCAGGAAATGGTGTGCGTGTTTATGTGAGAGAGAGAGAGAGAGAGAAACCTCTGCTCGGCACAGCTCCTGGAGTCCTTGCAGGGCGAGAGCAGCGGGGGTTGCCGTGTCTGGTGTAGTACACTGATTCAGAATAAGTGTAATGGCAGCCAGCATGTCACCTCCATGCTGGTAAGGTCTGACACACACAGGTCAAAAAGTAGAGACAGATTTTATTTCTTTTTCTGTTCATTTACTACATTACAATTCGATGTTTTCAATTTTGCTGAATTTTACAGACAACTGATTATGAGATAGTGATTTGTAGAAACACAGATGCTAAGCCTTTCCAATACACGCAACATGTACATGTGCAGTTGTTTTTCAAATTAGAAGTGTTACAAGTCTAATGCTGAGTGACCAAAGCAATATTAATGGATGAATGTCAATGTGTAGTCAATACTGTACCTGTGATATGTGGTAACAAGTAAAACTGATTACTCATTACTTCATTTCCAGGGGTCACAAGCCTAAAAGGTGGAAAACCGTTTCCCTACCTTGAAGACTGAAGCTACTATTGTCTTGTATACTGCACTGGTGAGGTGTTGTTTTATCAAGGTAGTAAGGCTGCTAAGGAAAACCCTGGAGCTGCTACATATTAACTTATACAAAGTGAATGTAATTTAAATCACCCAAAAAAAAAAACACCAGAAAGACGATTCCTCTTTACTCAAATCTTTTTCGGTTGCTATTATATTAATCAACCAGATTCTCATGTCATGCCCTATTATACTGTTCATCACACAACATCCAGCATGTGTTGCTCTCACCTCTCTCTGCAGATGTCCCTGAGGCAGGCAGCTCTGGCTAGCATCTGCTCCCACTGGTCGTCCCTCCCCACCACCACCCTGCTGTCCTGCTGACCCAGCAGACGCTGGAGCTCTGGGTACACTCGGTCCTGGCAGGAAGGAACAAAGTCAGTTGTGAGCGAGAGGTGAACAAGAAGACAAGAAGAATACTGAAGAATAAATATATGAATATGATGAGCTTGTATTATAACACACCTGTCTCTTCCAGAGAGCAGTCATGAGGCGCATTGCCACAGCTCTCAGCTTGGGGGCACTGGCCAGCATGTGGAGAGTCTGCAGCACCATGGGGACACAGAACTGGAACAGGAAAGCACATGATGCAGGATAATGGGTAAGACTGTCTAACCAGAGCTTTCTACATACATATGTACCCAATTATGAGCCAGAGTCAAGTTTACAGACTGTTCTAGTTTTCTAGTTATGAATTAGACTTGGAAAAAGGATCACTCTTCAAAGAGAATGCATTGGTTGAAATTATGTAAATCTACATGTCATAGATGTGAACATGCAGTGGTTTACATCACATGTGACATTATTTTCCCTGCAGAGTAGCACAGGGGAGACCAGATGTGCTTGCTACCTTATGAGTCCCCAGGTTTGGCAGGCAGTTGAGCACAGCATGAGCCAGATCTGGATTCTTTTCCTTCCCCAGTTTGAACAACAGGACAGGGATGAGTGAAGGGACCTGCAGACCCACGTGTAAGGTTAGATGAAGGAAACTGCAAAAACCTCCCGAATCCAAATAATAATAATAATAAAACTTTATTTATATAGCGCTCTACTACTCGCAAGAGCACCAGAGTGCTGTACAGTCACAACCCAATAAACAGAGCAAAACGATAACAACAGAAAAAATACTAGAGTGCTAAACTGACTTCTAAAAACATAAAATAAAAACAAATTAGGAATCAAAAGCCTGCTTAAAAAAGTGGGTCTTTAGGGCCGATTTAAAGGCCACTAAATCGCTTTCCGCCCGGAGTTCGACCGGCAGGGCATTCCATAGTTTAGGGCCACAAACAGAAAATGAACAGTCGCCCCACTTTTTATAGCAGGATCGCGGGACGCCCAATGACAACTGATCAGTTGATCGAAGAGTTATCCGCGGCACATAAATAGCCAACAGGTCAGACAAATAAGATGGTGCAAGGCCGTGAATAGCCTTAAAAACAAACAATAATATCTTGAATTTGATTCTGAATTGGATTGGAAGCCAGTGAAGAGCACAGAGAATGGGGGAAATATGTGCAAACTTAGGAGCATTAGATAGTAGCCGAGCTGCTGCATTTTGGACTAATTGTAGTTTGTTGCGCAAAGACTGAGGAACTCCAATATACAGAGCATTGCAATAATCGAACCTTGAGATGACAAATGCATGGATCGCCTTCTCCAAATCACCATGTGACAAAAAAGGTTTCACCTTAGTCAAAAGTCTTAGGTGAAAAAAAAGCACGACTTAGCCACTGCCCTAATCTGGGCACAGATGTACAAATGTAGCCCAAATGGAATGCCCTGCCTCATCTGTAGACCTGCTTCTTGCAGCACTTTTCTGTCAAGAGACTGTACAGTCCATTCAGTGCGATCTGCAGCAGTGTCTTTTCTGATACTACCACTGGGGGTCACCACAGTGCAACTTTAATTTAGATCAACAAGTAGACTTGTTTTTTACTTTGTCAAAACGTATTAAAAATAAAGTAAACACGCTAATAGCATCCGCCATGACATGATGGGTGAAAAATAGATGAAGTCAATGATTTTCCTTTAAAATAAAAACACATCAAATCAATCTGTGTAATGTGAAAGATGTCATTCATAGTAACAAATCCACAGAGAATTATCAACCAACCTCTCAGCTCTCTGGAGCTTTTTAGCCTCTTTTAAGACACTGTTTTTGGTTTATTGTCCAACCCTTTATCTGTCATGGATCAATCTGATTGCTCTTATTAGAGCTGATTTCAGCAGCAACAGGCAGCTGTTTTCAGCTAAAAAGCTCAAATAAACCCACTGTACGCTACCTGATCAGCACCAGATAACGAACAGACACAGTCAGAGACTACCTGGTGAACAGAGTGGAGTATTTAGCAGCTAAAGAGGCAGATGTTTCTTTTAGGAACTGGTGGATACCAAAAGCTAAAAGGAGAGGGAATATCAAACTGATCAGGGAGGACACAAACACAACTCCCAGGCAATGCTAAAGTTGCTCTGAGTCTGCTGGATGTGTAAATGGTTTGCTAACCTGTTATCCAAAACATTTTAATAAAGTAATAATATGACATTACTGTATTTAATGTTTGTTTCTGTTACTGCTCCTAGGTGGCTTACAGGGTTAAGTGATTTGACGAGCATCATAAAATGTTACTCCACTGTTGTACAAGCCTTAGGGGCCAATTTACTGCTGCATACCTGCACAGACCCAGTAGGGTGAGCTGTGGTATCAGTAACAAGACCTACAAACTAACCCCTTCAGGTTGTGAATATGTACATGGCCTGAACATGGTTTTATTTGTTTGTTTCCATCCATCCATCCATTATCTATACCGTTTCTTCTTCTTTTTTTTTTTCTTGAATAGGGTCCCGGGGCAGCTGGAGCCAATCCGAGCTGACATTGGGCGAGAGGCAGGGTCCACCCTGGACAGGTCACCAGTCTATCACAGGGCTGACATGTAGACAAACTACCACACACACTCACTCCTAGGGGCAATTTAAAGTTGCCAGTAAACCTAAGCTGCATGCCTTTGGACAGTGGGAGGAAGCCGGAGTACCCACAGAGAACCCACGCGGGCACAGGAAGAACATGCAAACTGCACACTGAATGGCCCCGACTCGGCTGGGGCTCAAATTCAGAACCTTCTTGCTGTGAGGCGACAGCGCTAAGCACTGTGTTTGCTTTGCAGACCAAAATAAAAATAAACAAACTAAATGTACTCATCAACTCTGAAGTGTCAATGGCCCTTAAATAACAAAGCACTTACTGGTGCCCTGCACCTCGGCTGCTGCATAGCAACTACTGTACTCGATCTGCATGGCTTGAGAGGAAGACTGAGGAACACAGGTTCTCCTTCAAGTTGAATCCCTGAAAAGTATACTGATGACCCCAAACCATGGCCTTAAATCAATAAAATACTACTGTATTTAAATTACTCATAATGATAATGAATGTACTGATTTTCCTCTTCACTACGTACATTGCCACTATCTCCATCTAGGCAGTGTGGTCAGTTATGTAATTACCCTTCAGTGCCTCTTTGTTAAAAAAAAAGATAATGAAGTCTTTTTTTAACAAAAAGATACTGCAAACCAACAAAGCATTTCAGGTGTTTGTGACAGTAAGCAGGCAGATGTATAATGATGTGATACTGCAGGGAGGGGAATCCAATGGATTCAAATACGTCAATAACCTTCTACCAACACATCAAACAACCGGTGCAAGTGGCGCTCTGGGAGCAATTAGATCAGCGGGAGTATACTCTGAGGCACCTAACGAGTCTGAGTAATGAGTGGCATATAACAATAGGTGATATTTCACATAATGTTATGGAGGCAGTGACTCATTTTACAGTCCCAGAAGGAAGTCTATCAGTTTGAGCCCCTCTCTTTATGTAACTGCAGAAAATCCTGTGGCAAGAAAAAAGAATTTCGAAATCATTGTCAACAGAAAATGAAATGATACATCGAAAGGTTCAACCTGTAGAGGTTATCAGAGGTTTTTCTGGTTTTAGTTCACCAACCACACGTCACCTTTACTCTATCCACTGTAGATCATTTTCTGTAACATTCAGGCTGCCATTGGTTTGTATTTTGCAGCCGATTATGAAAATCAAGTAGCAAAGATGTAGCCCGATTCCAGGCCTGAATCGCCAAACCAATCTGAGATATGAGCTCACTGACAGTTGTTTCTCCCAGCTGTAGAAACAGTTGACCGGTAAGAACACTGCAGGTGCATCATCTTTCTACACAGACTGAAAAAATGGCCACTAAAGTGGAAACAAGCATGAATGAGATGAACAGAGATATACATGTTGTTGTAAGTCAACTTAGAGAAATAATAGGTGTTAAAATGACATGTCCTAATCTACATGAGAAACATTAACTGCACCTAGCAGCCACTACCAAAGATAAGATACCAGCCAACTGGTGTAGTTCCAGCCCTAAAAATCAATACCCGCATGTCAGGTTTGTTCAATGATACACATAGGTCTGGTGCTGTGCTCACTGATGGCTGGAGAAACAATAACAGCGGATGGCAGGTGGGTCTACGAATGAGGACAGCAAATTCCTACATAGCTAATAACTAGCATCACAATTAGAATTTAAAAAAAGCAACAGAAAAATGGCCACTACAATGGTGACAAGTGTTGGAGATATTTGAAGCTGTACAAGCTGTTATACTCTAGGTCAACTCAGAGAAATAACTCTTAAATCGACATGTTAATTTGATCGTTAAAAGGCTAACTGCTCCTTTTATATGTCAGTTCTGATGGGACATTCTGGTGGCAAATATTTCATTTTCCAGAGAAATGATTATCCCAAGAATAACTTATGTGACCAATCAAAAAAAAAAAAAATCTGCCTGCATGGGATCATGCATTATTTGAGAAATTCTGGCATTCTGGGTTCTGTAAAGCCCTCTCTGGTCTGTGCGTCAACAGCTGATAAAAAGAAATTCTTAGGGGCTACTGTGATTTCATTAACTTGTAACACCCATAGTTAGTGCAATAGTTAGAGAAACATTCATTATTTATAGAATCATTTCTATTGTACTGATTTGTATCTGCTTATGGTTAACAGACTACGGGTTTATCTGTTAGGTTCTTCTTGTGTATTCTGTTCTCTCCCTTTTCCTTCCCTACCCACATTCCCCATCCAAATAATCAGTCTGTACCATTACAAATGATTGTTTCACAAATTCAGATAGATGAAGTATCTGGGTACATGCCAGACAAGTTACTGACAATAAAAACAGCTGTGGCTTTACTCATTTGAGAAAACTTGATTCCCCATGTTTTAAACTGAGCTGTGTGGATTATCTACCTGGCAGGGATCAGCTGCAGCAATGGCCTGGCTTGCATTCAAAGCCAGCTGGCAGACGTCCTTCTGTCCCGTGATGATGAGATGAGTCACAATGAGGGCGAGCGAGCCCGGCAGGCGCTGGCTGGATGACAGGGCTGAGGGGACCGACAGCAGCCAATCAGCTGCCGCCGCTGGATTATCTGCCACTTTACGCAGTGTGGACAGAGCCACGCTGAGCTCGCTGTACCAGGAGCTGAGAGGAAGTGCCAAAACTGGAGCAGACTGAGGGGGACAAGTGAACAAAGAGTTTGTACCACAATATTTATATTTGATAATACAGAAGACACCATTTATCTATATCATTACTATTTTAGTATTTGCAAACACATTTCTAAATTAAAACCACTTTGCAATTATTTGGATTTTGCTTCCATAGGGGAGGATATCAGAAGAAAACAAGAATCAGTTTCACCGTTACCTCTCGGGGTTTATCTCTCTGGCTGCTGATGCTGCGGAGCAGGCTGTGGGTCAAATCTTGGTTGGCGATGTATGTCCTCCGGTCAGCCAGCGGTTCACTAAGACCCGAACAGGACAGGAGCTGCAGCACAGGAAGAAGCAGGATTGGACTCAACCAGGGTGACAGCTCAGCCTGCTCAGGAGCCAAACTCAGCGCTGTGTCAAAGAGAGGGGGCAAAGACAACAAGGCAAAATTCCCATGAAAATTAATGTTCTACTTTCATTAGGTTGTAGGAGATCGAGAGAATAAAAAGAGCATCAACAGGGGACATAACAATGCCATCATGGGAAAATATGAAGGATTGTGGTATCTTTAACAATTATTTATAATGTATGAATTAATCAAATGTATTTCCCTCATATCATATATTCAAATATGACACTATGCATGGTAAACCTTTATTTTATACGTCTTATATTTTCTTGTTTCCTACAACACGAGAAAAAAACAGAGCCCAATATTTGACACCAATTACCGGGAAAATCCAGTATCAATGCTATTATTAGACCTTAAACCTCAAAATTAGGGATGGGATAATATCGAGAATCAACATATCAAGATACGGAAAAGTCACAGTATGTATCAATGATTCCATATTTTAAATAAGAACACAAGTCAGTATATCTGGTTCTTTACACAATTATACAAGGGCTCAAAAAGGGGAAAAAACAGGAGTAAAGTACATGTATTCTACAGCTAGTCATACATTGTCATCAAACTCCAATTGTATTGTGATTAAATCGAATCATATATACCACATCGTGCACTGAATCATATCAACAAGTCCAATCCCCACTAAATATCCATCCATCCATTAGCCATAACACTTACAGCTGAAGTCACAAGTTTACATACATTAAGGTTGAAGTGATTAAACTGATGCTCAGAGTATTTCAGCTCTTTTACTGAAAATGTTTCTGAGTCAGAATAAGAGCACATACAAGATATAGCTATCTGGGGCAGCTATCTGCATAGGATGATCACATGATTCCAATAACGGCGTTTAATGAGACCTTTGGTTTCCTTGAATCTCCACAACAGAGACAGTGAAATTAGCACAGGTTATTGAGCCACCAAATCCACTTTTAAGGGAAATACAGCAGGTAAAAAAAAGGAAACCAAGTTATCTTCTAAGTATCTAACACTTTATTTTGAAATTAAACAGGAAGACGAAGGGTTTTTTCTAAATGGATCATCCTGTTAACATTAAAAGAAACGATAATCAGCATTCTCTAGATGTAAATTCATGGTATGTGTACAGAATAGCTTATAAGTTAATACAGTTTTTATAGGAAAAATATTCTTCCTCTGGGCTCCAACAGTTTGCCAACGGTGAATAAAACAGTGTTGCTGTATTAAAACATGCATGTGGTTGGTGCACTCTTCACAGCAGCAATATAATCATCTATAACGAGTTTCATATCATGACTACTTCTGCACGTGTCTAATATACTTAGAAATCGAACTACTGTAAATGAGCTAATTTGCAGGTGTGTGAGATAATATGGAGTGTTTGGTCTTGGGTGGTCCAACAACATCGTGAAGAAGTAGTACAACAGTTTAGGAAATATGCTTATTCACTTTCTTGCCAGGAGTTAGATAAGAAGATCAGCACATACTGTGTGTAGCCAGCAGCTGGTTAGCTTAGCACAAAGACTGGAAACAGCTTGTCTGGCAGTGTCAGAAGGTAACAAAAGCCACCTACTGGCACCTCTAAAGCTCATGAAAATCAAAGGGTAAAAATAGCTATTAGTGTTTTTTTGTTTGTTTTGTGCTCTACTGTAGCTGTACATTTACCCAGACTGAGCAGGCTGGTCTGCTGAGCTGCAGGGGCCTCTAGCAGGAGCAATGCCACACCCATCATCAGCTCATCGACTGGCAGCTCCTACAAAGACATAGTGTTGACATCAACATACTGATATGGAGAGTAAAGTCCTGAAGGCAAAAATGACAAACCTGTCCAGAGTAGCCTTATTTAGAGAAAATGATTATCTAAAACCTTGTAGCATTATAAATGCTGCTGTGTCACCTGCTGGCAGGCAGGGGCGAGCTGCTGTATTAAGTTGAGAAGGGGTCGGCAGTCTCCATTTAACCTGAGACAGCGCTGACAGGCACAAAGCAGCTGCAGGAGCAGCCTGGCTCTCTCAATCCTCCAGCGCTCCGCAGAAGCCTGGAGGAGACTCTGAAGAAGAAGGTCGGCAAAAGCACACAGCTCCAACACTGCCTCCACGCTGTCCAGCTGTCAGCACAGAGAGGACAACAATAGAAAGGCTTATGGATTACATTTTTTCCCATCACTGTAAAAAAAAGTTTGATTTTACTTTAAAGATGCAGTAACTAAGATTTTACACAGTCTAATACATTAGGTGAAAATGGTACAGGAAGTAGTCCCACTCCGCTATTCTACTGCCCTCCATGACCACCAAATCTAATAGTTTCTAAATGTGAATCCTCACATTAACTTGAAAGTCAAGAAAAAAAAAAAGCCTGGTAATTGTATCCCAGTCCAAGCACAACTTCCATGAAGAATATCTAATATGCCTCTTGCAGACTTCTTCATCCTTTGGTCTCTAAACAGCATCTACAGCATAAGTGACATACTGTTGTCAAACATTTGTCAAATTAGTCCAAAAGATCACAATGATATGAAATAAAAGGGATAGCATATTCATTGCAGTCCTTTCTAAATAGTGAGCCACAATCACATGCATTACTGAACTGACACTTCACTGAGCCAAAGTGTAAACAAAGGTTTGTATTAATCAAGTAGGCTGTATGCACACACACACACGCGCACACACACACACACACACACACACACTATATATATATAGCCATATTTTTGATATGTGCCATAAAAAATTATGAAAGAATATATTCCATATACATACACGATAAATATCCATTTTCAAAACAAAAACAGTCCCACACCGGAAATCAGGCACAGTGCAAAAACCAGGGTGAAGATCTGTTTGGCTTTTTGAAATGAAAAGTGTTAAAAGCAGCCAAAAGACTCATATTTCATTTAGAGTGGTGGTTATGGAGGTAAATCCTCACCACAACACTTGAGAGCCTTTATTTGTATCCATATAGTGCTGCCTCTGAATTATTGGAACTTAAACTACTGACATGCTTTCTGGGATAGGTTTGGTTTCCTCTCTCTCACCCTGTACCTTTCTGTAGGTAGCCCTGGCTCCAGAGTTCTACATTTCTGATCAACAGTTACCGGCCACAACAACCTGCCCAGTGCTTGTTTTGCTGCTCACTTTGCAACTCAGCATTTGAGAGCACATAGGCAGTTTTGTGAGTGCAGAATCAGATTAGAGAGTTTAATCCAGGCCATGCATGTGCTTGTTTCTGAGTCAGATTTCTCCACTGTGGTTTGTATGAAAGTGTGTCTGTGCCAAAAGTTCTGAAAGCACAACAAACAAGTTGGAAGGGAGGATACTCACTGCTTGATCAAATCATGTTATGCTCACAATTCTGTCCTCCCTTGCTGACTCAGTAATGTATGTTATGAAGCAAGATTTATCTACAGTTAGGTAACATTTAGGGGGCAGCTGTGGCTCAGGAGGTAGAGTGGGTCGTCTCCTAACCGGAGGATTAGTGGTTTGATCCCCAATTTGTCCAGTCAACATGTCGAAGTATCCTTGAGCAAGACACTGAACCCCCAGTTGGTCCTGGTGATGACACCAGTGTGTGAATGTGTGAGCATTTGGGAGTGTGAATGGCCAAGTTGTGTGAAAGCGCTTTGAGTGCAGCATAGAAAAAGCATAGAATAGCGTTATAGAAGTATAAGACCATTTACCACCATAAGCTACTGGTCATACCAGATATTTGAATATATATAGGATGGGTTTTGTTCCTTACATATTCAACTTTCCATTTTTAAGAGTAAGAATGTTATTTATTCTTTCAAAAGTTACATAATGATACTTTAATTAAATGCATCAATTCTTGTGAGGAGAAATGTCCCATTACAAATTAAAAGACATGTTGAACACAAACTTTTGCAGTTGTTTTTTTTAAATTAGTGACATTTAAAAAAACATTAAGGCAGTTATTGATGCTGGTGCCTTGTGGAGCTGTCACCTGCATGTGTGGAACAAGCTGGCAGAGGCAGTGAAGCAGACTGTCCGACACTGTGGTGGTCTCCTGCTGGTCCTTTTTCTGGAGGACCGATCTGGTTCCTGGATGTACGGGCAGCAGTACCCTGAGGAGACTGTGTCGGAGGAGAGCGTACTGGGGTTGCCTCTGAGGTTCACAATACAGGTAACGCAGGAAGGGTGCCAGCATGGTGATATAGGCTGCTTCATCTCTGCAGTGTATACATGTACAGTATACACGTTAATAAGCGAATCCCACCTCTCAAAAACACAATTTAGAGGCATCACACAATGTTGATTTATATCACTTTGGCCTAAATGGTCACTACTACTGAACCTTTAATGAAAGAAAACCTTTCTGAGACTTGAGCTTTGTAAACAAAGCAATCCATGTTCCGAACTGTTTGTGCAGTGGAATGTATCTGTATACATTTGTCATTACTGCACAATTAGAGCAGACAGTGGAGTCCCTCATTGAGATACTTAAGAGTTATTTGTGGCCATGCTAACCTGTCAGCAGCCTGCTGAATGAAGTCACCAATCTCCAACAGCAGAGCTGGCCAGCAGTCCACTCGGTTCTCCAGGGCTGTGATGTACGGGTGAGGGCTGCTCCTGTAAAACCAAGGAACAGAGCAAAGGCCATGTTCACACCACAGTTCCAGAGTACCAGTTGTGTTTTTATTATCATGTATGTGACAAATATACCTATAAGAGCAAGGATCTTTCACCAAAAACCACAAATGCCAACCTCAAAAAAAAAAAAAAACATAAAAGCCTATACAAACCCAATATTAAGCTATTTTGGTCTTGGAGCAGAATACCAGCATGGCTGAAATGTTTTTAATAAATAAGTGAATAATCATCTATTAACTGACTTGTCTGTGGTTTGGATGTCTCACTGATTAGTGATTACTATTTTACGAAGATAGCAATTCCAGAATCACCTCATGTTTTCCAGACAGTCATGGATTCAATTCATGTCAATACAACACAGAAACCAACTAGGAGAGACTTGTCATTACATAATGTATTTATCAAAAGGTATGTTATCACAGTTTGGTAATTATGGAAACATCCATCCATCCATTATCTATACCGCTTATTCCTGAATAGGGTCGTGGGGGGCTGCAGCCAATCCCACCTCCAAACTGCTTAAAAAGGCCCAGCAGAGACTGTACTTCCTACAGATGCTCAGGAAGAACAACGCATCCCACATGTTGTTTATTTTGTTTTTTTAGCAGTTATGTTTTCATTTTACATGTTATGTTTTTTATAGCTGTACCGACTGGAGGTCACTTTAAATTTTCGTTGTACATGTTACAATGACAAGAATCTTATCTTATCTCTATCTTATCTTACTGCATATGTGGAGCAATGAGAATAAATATCGTCAAGTGACACTTAAGGTAATGGTACTACCATTACCAGGTCTTCCTGTCCTCTACTTTCACAGGACAAGACAGGTAAACAATGGACATCCTCCTAAATTTGCAAACCCATTAAGTCCAGACAAAACACTGGGGTCAAATCCAAGGTGAAGTCTCTGTATAATGTTACGGTTCCAGCCCAAAGACAAGCCAGAGATTAATCCAACAGGGCTGGTGTGTGTGAGGGGAGAGGTGACCACCACCACCGTGTTCGCTTAACAGATGTGTTCCATCGATCATCACATATCTAAGTACAGGAAGGAAGTTCAGTGATTGAGCATGTCTGTGCCTGTGACAGCCTGCAATGTCGGCCAGACGTGGACTCCTCAGTGGCTGAGCTCCTCCCTTCCTCCTGCTTTTTCTGCCCAGTCCTCACATGGTGTAATCTGTCTGACCATCTCTGCCCCCCCTGTTCAATCTGGCCCTCTCTAAACCCTCGGCTTCAATGCAGCTACCATCCATCAGGTTCAAACTCCGCTTCCTACTCTTTAGCTGCCAAACAAAAGAAGAGGCAAGAAGACCCTCCACTTTTAGTTCAACTACAAGTTCACAGCCGAATCAGAGCCCTGTCACACTAATGGGCCAGGTAAAACTTCTTGGGGATGTCTGGAGGTTACACCGGCCTCTGAGGTGAAGTCTAGGTTGAGCGATGGACCTGATTTGAAAGCATAGCAGCTGGCAAACATTACTTAATCTTTAAAAATCATTAGGAGATACAACGAGTAAAATAAGTATTGAACACGTGACCATTTTTCTTAGTAAATATATTTCTAAAGGTGCTGCTGACATGACATTTTCACCAGATGTCGGTAACAACCCAAGTAATCCATACATACAAAAAGCAAATAAGTTCAGAAATGAAGTTATGTATAGTAAAATGGAATGACACTTCATACAAAAGCCTCTGTTGGTAATGACAGCTTCAAGACACCTTCTGTATGGAGAAACTAGTTGCATCCATTGCTCAGGTGTGATTTTGTCCCATTCTTCCACACAAACAGTCTTCAGATCTTTAAGGTTCTGTGGGCCTTTTCTATGAACCCTGATCTTTAGTTCTTTCCATAGATTTTCTATTGGATTCAAGTCAGGTGATTGGCTGGGCCATTCCAAGAGCTCTATTTTCTTTCTCTGAAACCAACTGAGAGCTTCCTTGGCTGTGTCTTTGGGATCATTGTCTTGCTGAAATGTCCACCCTCATTTCATCATCATCCTGGTAGATGGCAGCAGATTTTTAATCAAGAATGCCTTGTCCATTCATCCTTCCTGCAATTATATGAAGTTTGCCAGTGCCGTATACTGAAAAACAACCCCACACCATGATGGCCCCACCTCCAAACGTCACTGTTGGGTTGGTGTTTTTGGGGTGATGTGCAGTGCCATTTGACCTCCAAACATGGTGTGTATTATGGCATCCAAAGAGTTCAATTCTGATCTTATCTGACCAGACTATATTCTCCCAGTATTTCACAGGCTTGTCTAAATGTTGTGCAGCAAACTTTAAACGAGCTTAAACATGCTTTTTCTACAGCAATGGAGTGTGGTGTGGTGAGCGTGCGTACAGGCCATGGCGGTTGAGTGTATTACTTAGTTTTCTTTGAAACAGTTGTACCTGGTAATTCCAGGTCTTTCTGAAGCTCTCCACAAGTGGACAACTCTTCTGATAATTCTTTTCACTCCTCTGTCAGAAATCTCGCGAGGAGCACCTGGTCGTGCCCAATTTATGGTGAAATGATGTTCTCCCCACTTACGGAATATGGGCCCAACAGTGCTCACTGGAACATTCAGGAGTTTAGAAATCCTTCTGTAACCAATGCCATCAGTAGGTTTTGCAACAATAAGATTGTGAAGGTCTTGAGAGAGCTCTTTGCTTTTACCCATCATGAGATGTTTCTTGTGACACGCTGGTAATGACACCATTTTTTGGGACTGAACCAGCTGATATTTTTCCATGTGTCATTCCATTTTATTACACAAGTTCTGAGCTTAGTTTTCTTTGAAGGGATGGATGACTTGGGTTATTACTAACATTTGGTGAAATATATTTAATGAGAAAAATGGCGATGTGTTCATTACTTATTTTACCCACTGTATACAATGACTTGCTTGCAAATTGCAACTCCAACCACTCATCCTCACTCAACAGTTAGATGTTATCTGCTAAAAGTCCATGTCCTTAAAAGCAATAGTGTTCTAATTCTGGGGGAGAAAAAAAAAAAAAGACCCATCAGTATAATGGCAAAAGCCAGTCTTTATCCAACTGACCTTTCACAAACTGTCCAGTACCTAAAGCTGGCATTAAAAGTCCATTAGGATTTGTAGCCATGCGTACTGTAGTTCCTGATTCGAATCAGGATTTTATCAATTTTAGACAAAAGTTAGACAAGACCTTTGGCTTCAGCTGTTAAACTTGCAAAAAGGATCAACTTATTAGATAGCGACGTACGGAGAGATGACAAGATATGAGGAGAAAGAGACATGGAATGTCATACAATAAAGGTCCCTTCTGAATGTGAACCGAGGACATTGCATTTCACGTTTGCCACCTTAAAACTGAGTTTATGCTTGAAAAGAACTAGTTTGCACAATAGGTTGCTTGATCACAGTAGAAGACAAAAGCATTTACAGCTGAATAACCACTACTGATGCACCAGAAAAATATATTTTAATATTGTATAATTGCTGGTGTGTTTCCTTTAAATTTGTCCACATTTTAGTGAATTTCAACAATGCTTGCAAAATAAAAATGGTGTGTTTCATCAGTAACGTTTATATAAGTAATATTACAATTTAGATTTTTTTATTACCTCGGCCAAGCATAAACAGATTTCTTGCAATATTTTCAGTGCTACCATTCAAATTTATGCACAAAGAAAACGTTGGTGTATCCAGGCAAAACAATAAGTCAGCACAGAATTTTCACACATTGAAATTACTTCAAAGTGTTGCAGTTACATTGGTTAGCCACCAGAGAGCACTGATACGTTTATTTTTCAACTGTGAAATGTCCATTCAAGTGCAAAACCTGACCAAAATTTTTTTTTATGTATCATCATATCTAAACATTTAATGTATCCCAAAAAAAAAATCATCATCTGATACCAATATTGCAAATATCTTTACTGAGGCATCGGCCTAAAAAAAAAAACAAAAAAAACAATACAACTCAAGCTATAGTTGCATCTTTTTCTAGGACCTTTAACTGGAAAGCTAAGCCTGTGCTTTGCCTTCCAAAATGCTAAAACCTGGTGGTTAAACATACTGTAAAAGGTTCCATTAAAATTCTGCAGGTGGAATCACTACTGCTTTATTAATGCAGTCTAGTGGTAATTTGGATATTTATTTCAATATAAATAGACAGCCTGCTCTCTTTTGCACAAGAGTATGTGGGAAAGCCTGCAGGGGACAGATTACACTACTACAGCCAGACCAGCATCACATGAGACATGAACGGGTGTGGTGGACAGAGCCCTGAACCTTCCCTGGTCCTGCTGGGGGCTGAAGTGGCTCAGAGTCTCGGTGGCAGATTGCACAAGGCAGCGGTGAGCAGACGGTCAACAATGGGCACCAGTGTGCATCCTCCATTAATCCCACAGCATTTACAGTTACCCAGCAGTTCCAGGGCCAACAACCAATAGCAGGCCAGACTGCCAGGGCAATGGCGCCACCCTGCTGCCCTCAACACATTCATCTTCCCACCAGGGAGGTTCGGGCTGCCAGACAGACGCAGACAGCGATGAAGACGGAATGAGGGAGGAAAAAAAAAAAGGACAATAGGAAGGAAGGAATAAAAGAAAGTAGGGATAGAGATGTGTGGGAAAGGAGGTCAAAAGGGAGCAAGCACAAAAAGGAGGAATGGGAATCAAGAGTGCAAGGGGTGGAAAGGAAACGAAGGAGAAAGGAAACGAAGGAAAAAGAAAAAGCAGCTCAGTATTTCTATCACCCGCTGTAACTGATTAAGGAGGCCCCAGAATTTGGCAGAGATGCATATCTAAGGCTGGGGGGGCTCCAGGCTCCAGCAGGAGCACAGCACTACACTACACTACACTACACTAGCCTGGGTGCCCAGTTCCCAATTGTACAGTCATTTTGCACTGTTAGTAAGTCAAATATCAGTCTCAGACCATTAAGTACAAAACTGGAGTCATGACATAGTTAGCCTAGCTTAGCATGAATACTGGAAGCAGGGGTGAGCCGCTACCCTGGCTATTTGTTTAATCTATGCTTAAAACGGAAGTGTAAAAACCACAACCTATGCTTTTAGTGGGAGCTGTGCACTGCCAGCTATGTTCATAGACAGAAACAATTTGCACAAATTGGCGTTAAGATGATTACACACCTAACTTGTTTGGTTTAATAGACTCTGGTGACTTTGGACATTTGGACTATTGTGAAAGCTACTTCTTGAACTCTGGTAGGAGCTAAACAACCAGCCCAGAAATGCCTGAATAGGTAGGACTACCCAGGATAACGTCTGTCTAAGTCATATCCTTATCAGCTATCAAGGATGCAGTTTCCCCATCTTTATATGCAATGTATGGCCTACATTCACACAAGACGATTTGGTAACCAGGGTAATATCATTTCTGAATTTTCCCTGATACATAATAAAAAGAACCTTTCAGACACACACTCCTTTCCATTAATCAGGCAGCATGTTTGCTTCATGAGTAAACGAGCGCCATCATTTTTCCATAAAAGCCATGATGGGAAACTTACAAGGTTGGTCCTAGTAACATTTACATATCAATTTGGGATGGCACAAGTACAAACCACAGGTAGTTATGTTAACAGATAGGCATGCACATGATTACAGCGTACTGACATACAGTAGTTACGTATAGTGCACCTACCAGTCATGACAGTCTGTGTCTGCACGTCTTGTGTGTCTGAGTTTCTCTGCTCACTAAAAATGACTGTTTTGGAAAATGTCTGAAATATGGCAACAACATAAGAAAATCATTTCTCTTAGAACACTCATATTTGTCCATGACATTGTAGTAAGAAAACTCTGGTCTCATGTCATTTGATATATTGTGCAATCTTGCACGTATGGTTATTGTATATCATGTGCTTACGTTAACATACTTGCAGTATATTAAAAGTGACCTATGTCACTGATGAAGGCCGATGAAGTAAGCAATATGAATCCCATTTCAGAAAAAGGATAAAAAAAAAGTGAAAGGGAGATCAACTTTGGCATTCTCACAACCAGATTTACTACTTTGTCGCATGCCTCTGCCAAATAGTCGAATTCACAGGAATGGGCACGTGTAAGGGCACTCTGACCTTGACCTCAGACCACCAAAATCTAAACAGTTCATCCTTGAGCTTCATTGGATATTTGTGCCTAATTTGAAGGTGTCTGAGATATCACATTCACAAGAATGGGCTGGACAGACCTGAGATCACTGTGACCTTCATCTTTGACCACCAAAATCTTATTAGTTACCTTTGAGTCCAAGTGGATATTTGTGCCTATTCTGAACAGATTTCCTCAAGGGATTCCTGAGATATTACACACATTCATGCAAATGGGCTATACAGACATATGAGTGGATCAAGGTAAAACCAGAAAATATGCCTCCAGCCACAGTTAGCTCCAGCACGGAGATGCAATAAAAAGCGAGTGAAACACAATGAGTGCCCACACATTAAATTTCGTCTTTTAATACAAGATTAATGCAAGGTGTGCACAGGAGGAGGTGAATTTCACCTATTGCCGACCAACTCTAATCCAAGTTCTTCCTACCAACTGCATCTAGACTGAGCAAAGGGCCAAGCTACAGATTCTCCAGGGAATGGGTGTTTTGCCAATTTGACCAGTCAGCCTGAGATAAGAAAGAAAGGTAGGACTCACAAGTCATGCCATGTCTCTACGCATGTAAAAAACTCCACAGATCAGTTTACAAGTTATGGTTAGTACTACTCAGCAGGGTGAAAACTGTTACATCTCCTGTGACTTTGCTTTCTACTGCAGAGTTAAATTATCTTAAAGTGAGTAGAGCACTGAGTTTTATACTATACATGCACAACAGCCAATACAGAAAGACAACACATAGGACTACGGCACTGACAGACTGACCTGATGGAGTAAGGACAGGTGAAGTGTACTTCTCTGTCTCTCTGGTCTGCCTGCATCTGTAGTATCCGTCCAATTATCTTTATCAGCCCCTGGACGTTTCTGTTTGAAAGTCAAGTCAAAATCAGGACACAGAACATCATTTTCCAAGAAAGACAGCACTAAAACCAGTATTATGAGGAAAATTGTACAGTTGACAGAAGAACACTAGGAATTGTGCAAAATGTATTATATACAGAAGCTGAGAAGATCAACAACAGTGCATTTACATGGACATGAGTATCCCGGTTTTGATCATATTAGGCATATGATGCTTACACGGAGCACAGAAATCTGGTTATGCACATCTCCATAAACATTACATGATTAAAAACCTGTATCCTGGTTACTGATGACTAATAAATCTAATGTCAGCTTCTCTATCCTCTACAGTGGAATGTGGGTGGTGACCACGCAGGTCATTGAATATTTTAGAAGAACCTGAAAGTTGTTAAACTAGAGCCACTTCTTTTGTTTTAATGTCTGGAGATGTGATTTTCCTTCAGGATTTTCCATCATAATCTGACTTATTAAACATCCCATAGCTAACTTGCCCACTACAAATTTTAAGAGGTCAGCATTGCTACGCTTTGTACAAACAAATACATTTAACTTCAACAAAAAAACAAACAAACAAAAAAAAGTAAGATGCCTCAACTGCCAACATTGTGTTGGATGCTGCAGCCACGCCTGCATAGAAAGTCTGGAACGCTCAGAAACCTAGATAAGACACCCGCATGCAAAAAAAAAAAAAAAAACGAAATCACCACGTTGTGGTCCTGGCTTTCCAGCCAGACAAATTCCTGGGAACGGGACAGATGTGAGGTCACTACCTTGACCACCAAAATCTTAATCAGTTCAGATTGGAAACGGCCGGTTTTCAGCGTGATCATTCTTGACTGGAGACCAGCCGATCACATTTAGAGGCACGACAGCCCAGGTCGCATAGAACAAAAGCATAGTATGTAGCACACATTTGGAGAAGTACAAATACTGCTGTTCATTTTTAGCTGGAGGCTTGTGAAAAAAAAAAAGGGAATAAAAGATGGAAACAAAAAACTTTAATACAATTTTTTTATTAAAGAGTCCATGACATGCTCGTTTCCAGCCATTTAATGTTTAATCTTGGGTGCCTCTACATTAGCTTTGAACCCCTCGTTACATAACTTCAGAATGATAAAACCAGAGAGCTTCTTCCTAAAAACGAGGGGATGGTTTGTAAATGTGCACAGCTCGTGAATGCGCGCGGCTCCTGTTGGCAATATTGTGTTGAAATCCGTTTTCCATAACCCAAATCCTAAACACAGCACCTGAGGGGGGCGCTACATGAAACCGAGTTTTGAACAGGGAAAACTCATCTCGGCAGGGGAACAAAAGACACCAACAAAGAAACTACATTTTCTACAACTACAATACCTCAAATACTACCTGACATTTTCGAGCCAGAATACTGGTGCTCCACCGCATTTTGGTATTAAAAGGAACTTGAATTGACAAAAATAATAATAATAATAATAATGTTACTAGAGATGCTGTACACCAAGTAGTAAAAAAACATCTCTCTTTCAAGTAGCTCCAAGGTCAGTAAATCCAACCGGTGGTCGCTGCGTCTTCCCCCACACGACCACATACAGTCCCAAAGTAGTAAAATTAATTCCAACCGGTATTGTAGCACCGACAATAACATCATGTGTCATTAATCCTCTCCTTAACCAGCAACACATCACATGCAGCAGACACACTGGCCTCAAGCAGTCAGAACAAATAGGTACTGTGCTCAGGGATGAGCTGATCACTAACCGTCCCAGGGTGCTTCACAGGCTGACTGCTCATATGTTAGACCCCAGTCAGGTAAAACAGCGAGTCCCTGTACAGGAACATTCCCAGACATGCAGTGACCTCAGGCCCTGCTGTGTACACTGTCAATTGCAGTTCCTAGAAAATCAGCCAAAACTGGAAACTGGCAGGTCAGACTAGAAAATTGCCATTTGTGCATTTGTATCATTGAGTCAAAGTGGACACTTGTGCCATATTTGAAGAAAATCCCTCAAAGCATTCAACATTCACAAGAATGGGCCATACAGACGTATAAACGGACAGACGTACAACCTGAAAACATAATGCCTGTGGCCCTGTCTATCGCTGGCATAAAGGCATAGAAAAAGACTTAGACATGCAACTGTATCCTGGTTCCTTTCAGAGTAGTCCAGTTAGCATATTCAGGTTTATCCCAGTTTTGAAAAAAGCTAATCCAGGTTTCTGAAATCCACATATGATGGCGTACCTGCGCAAACACAAATATGGGACAATTCAAAAGCCTGATCATAACTGGGATACTCATGTCCATATAAATGCAGTGCTTTCTTGACTGTGTCCAATTTAAATGAGCAGAGCTGCTGTGCATTATGCCTCGAGTAGTCTGCTATGCTGGTGGCCTATGGGGTAATAAAGTGTTACTGGTAAAGGCAGGGTTAGTGTTATATACACAATGTTGCCACCAGGCAGGATGGTTGGTAAAAGATGTCAGTAGGAGAGATACCTCCTCCTCCTCCTGGTGTTGCTATACATATAAGAACTGGCTTTTAGACATGATTACTGTATGTGACCTAGACAAGCTGGGAGTGCGTTTTTTTGTACCTGGCAGAGGGCAGGAGGTTGAGGACACTGTTGAGGATGTAGTGCAGGTCTGCGTGGCCCTGATCCACCAGCAGTACCACAGCCTCACAGCAGGTGGAACGCACCAGCGCACAGTCACTGCAGCACTGCTGCCACAGGGCATCCAGAGCTGGGCCCTGGTACACACCCGACAAGCAAGAGTTTAATCTAGATGGATCTTAAGTTTACCATTAGAGTAGAGTTTACATTTCTATGTATGGTACTTTGAAAACATTGAATTAAAATCCTTTAGTCTCATTACAAGTGAGCAACTGGTGCTCCACCGCATTTTGGCATTAAAGGAACTTGAATTGACAAAAATAATAATGTTGCACAAGTTTCTATAAATAAAAAAAACCTAATAAAACTATAAAGCCAACCTTTCACTCCCTGATTGATATTCCATTGGTTTACACTTTAGAGTGACCCTTTACCACGTTATGCCACGGTCAGTCATCCAGATACCAGCGTTGTAGTCGAGTCACTAAACCTCAGGTCAGTTGATTCTCAAGTCCCCACTATTCGAGTCATGTCAGTCAAAAAAGAAGAGGCTGAGTCAAGTCCTCATCACCCAAGTCCGAGTCATTAAGGTCTACATTAAACTGACACAGTTGATTTTACTCCAGTGATTTGATACATAAATCTCATTTATAGAAAATCTGAGTGTATGCTTCGATAAAATATGTGCTAGATAATGCATGATGCAGCAAACAGGTTTTAATAATCAAGACCATATGACCTATTACATTTTTAAAAAAAATTAAGAGTCCTCACCTCTAACTTCTAAATCTGAATGTGGTCAATACTAAAGTCCAAGTAACTTTTGTTTTGTCATGAGCCGTGAAAATCACTACTCAAGTTGGACTCGAGTCCGAATCCTGACTCAAGTACTACAACGCTGCTTGATACACAAGGGAGTGCTTCACATCTGTGAGCAATGCAGTAACTCACCTGAGGAGAGGACTGGATAATTTTCTCATTTTGCCCTTTCTCCTTTAGCACAGCAGCAACAAGACTTCTCACTGCCTGGAAAAACAAAAAAACATGCCTATATGTACATTTTTGATGGACATCTTCCTTAAAGGTTCAGTTTGCTCTCTTTCACAGAGAGTGGGGGCTGTGAATTCCCATGCCCCTCTATTCTGCATAATGCAGGTTTATGGAAGCATTTACAGCTAATGTGTAAAGTCTATAGCTTGACACTCAAATAGATTTTACATGGATTAGTACTTGAAATGATAAACCCAAAGTCAGTAGTGTTAAGTCTTTAATGTCTAACAACTGATGTTTAAGAATTACTGTAGGGCACGAGAAATAATATGGTCAGTTAACTAGATGGAACAGGACTAGCAAAAATAAACAAAAGTAGCAAGTGGGGTGGAGGTTACTGGGGGCAGAATATGAACAAAACTAATTCACTACCATGTCACTGTCTAACCTGGCCCCGGGTGAGTACCTTACCTGGGATTGTACGACAGGGCTGGGAAAATCAAACTGGGTTTTCAAACTCTCCATCATGTCTGCAGGTCAGACTTGAGAGCAGAAGAAAGTGCCATTAGAATGTGTTAACAAATCTTAATGAGAGGAAACAGTGTTTCTCATTTCTGGGTTTTCATTTGAAAGAAGTTAATCATTTGTTAGTCAACATCAAAAGCATTTAACAGTGGAATCATAGTGACACTGTTCTATTTAACTCAAGAATATCGTATATCAGGGGTGCTGAAGTCAGCCTTTGAAACCCAAGCGTAGAGATAACAGCCACCTGTTGCTTCACAGCACTAAAGGACCAAACACTGGTTGGAGGTATTCAGGGAGTGAGCCTATGAAAGCCGATTCCTGCCAGCTATTATCAAACTATTGGCCTACAGCCGTGACATGATTTTGCATTCACGTCACCATCAGTATGCCTCCCCACTCTCCAACTCACAGGTTGCTAAGCAGACGTCTGCCCCCTCTCAGGTTGTCGCATTAGGCCTGACAACATGTTGTACAGGTGCTGACCACCAGCTGTCAGAGGCCTGTACACCACAGCTGTTCCCCAGCTGAACCAGGCTGCATCAGAAACAATTAGAACAGCATGATTCTGGAGGGAATGAATCACATTCTTTCCACTCAGAAGCGAGAGCATGAATTTTTCTCGTGATTCTTGAACACTATAGTTCTTGCTTTGCTCCAATTAATTTTTGTGTTGCACGTCTTATGAAGACAGAACAAACAATACAATCATTCTAGAAATGGAGCGGCCACAATAACTTTGCAGAACAGAAGGGCAGATTACAGCTCAGAATGAGAAGCTGTGTGGAAACATTTGGCCTCAGTTTGGGGTCAAACATCAAGGTTTCCAGAGCTTCAGCAGATTGTAGGGCACTGTAGGTAGCGATAAAATCACTAGTGCTCAAAAACACCACAGGGTACTATTAACAATTTTTGATAACTGATAAATTACTTGGGTCATTTATCAAAAAAAAAGCTAATGTTCCTATGGCAGTTTTATATAACTAGAGAATGAATATCCTTGAACTGTTAATCATACAAAACAAAGTCTGGGAAATGTAAAATACAAAGTAGCACATACAATTTGAACACAAATTTATTTTCAGTGATCGGAAAGAAATTAATAACTATCCCACACATGAATTCCTGTAAGTTCAGATAATCAGAGAGCATGCCTGTCATGACCAAAGGTTTGTATCCTATGTGGGAATATCTTAGCCCTGTAAACCGATACATTGTTCTAACATTACTATATACACAGGGAATATGAGACTCATGTAGCCTAACCCAGCGCCACCCCTCCCCAAACACAGACACACTCACCCACCAAACCCACCTACTGTTAACCAACTGATAAGCAAGCCGGCTTTGCTGTACTGTCCACCACCCTGCTCCTGCACGCTCTACACTGACTCCCACAGCCATTCTGCTTCATGACCACATGGACAGGTAAGCCAGCTGTACCTGCTAACGTATAGGCCTAGCTATAGTCTGGTTCATAAAAAATGTGGCTGTTAAGCATGGCATTATCGATGTATGTCACTAGCATTCTTTAGCTTACTGGACTCATTAAAATCAACAGTTTGAGGGGTTTGACAAGAATGGGGCTGATGGAAGTTTCCTTTTGATTGAAAGTAAACAAGTCAGCCACTCTTCTCTAATTTAAAGACTGTCAGTGGTCAGATAAAGCCGTGTTCCAGTGGTTTCTACGGCATAAATACCTTACAGCAAAACCACATAGGCTGCACTGTAATGCTAGCTCTGCAGTAACAATACAAGTGAGGACAATGCCTACAGTGTTGAGCCATTGAGCCAACAGTGTGACAGCACATGGTGGACAGGCATGTGGGATTATTGATGGCCTTTCAGGTGGCACAACATGCATACACACACACGCTTTCAGAGCCTGAAATCATACAGTAACAATACAGAATAGACTGTTCACTGCCACTGTAATAATCTATCTACTGTCATTTATCAAACATGCCACATACTGTCGTTTATCAGCTTTTCAAATGTGAACAGTTGCTGTTTTGATCCTTTTTATTTAATTACAAACTGAATGAGAAGAATGATGTATTGGTGATGTATTTTAGCAGCAAGAATTTCCTCTTTATTAATGCCATGCCGAATGAAAGGATACTTCCCACTTTCACAGAATATGTTGTTTTTTAGAAGTTTTGCGCATCATAATATTGTGCCAATATGTAGGTTAAAAAAATGTTGATAAATATTTCAACAGGGCTCACAGCAGAGCGTACTGTCAAGCTAGTCGTGAACCTTATATGCCGTTTACCTATCGCACATCAAACCGGTCGTGTAACAACTCAACATTAGCACAAACCTGTGTTGGACAAAGGCTTCTGCATCCAGAGGTACCTAGCATTTGACTTACTGCCAAATAAAATGAGACACGGCAAATTACGTTAGCGGAAACTGCTAGTGATAGCCAGCACTGGAGTTGACAACACAAACTCTGGCTAACTGACTAGCTGTCTGTCCGTAGTAATAAAGGCAGATGCACTGTACCTACACAATACAACAACAGGCAGAGTAACAAATTAAACCGCTCGGTTAAAACTTGATACAAGTGAACATTCTGCTGACCAAACTTTACCACACTACCTCCTGCAAAGCCGCATAGAACTACGGTGCGTACCGAGGGTCAAAACCGACAGAGACCAACTAGCCTATCAAAAACCTTAAACCCTCTAAAGTCAGAATCATCACGTTCATTGCTACTTAATGGGGATATACAAGTTTAGGCTACCACCAGAGCTTTTAACTCAGTGTCAATAATCCCATCATAATGCCTTGTGAACATGACATACGGACTGTTTTCAAATAAATTTTTTATGACCTTGGTTTAGTCCCAGTAAGGCTGAGATTTCATTTTCTCCAAGTCAAATGGGGTCCTCACCTCTCAAGGATGTAAAAGGATCTGTTGCTGATGTCTTGGTGTCATTTTACCCCAGGACACCTGCAGAGGTCTGGTGGAGTCCATGCACAAGACAGGTTAGAACCTTTTTGGTAGCAAAAGGGAATGTACAAAGTTGGGTAGGTGGTCGTAATGTTATGGCTGATTGGTCTAAGGTTAATAGAGTTGGATTTTTCACGTAAAGTGTGACTGCAACCGAAAAGAATTCCTTTGGTGTTTTGTCACAGCAAAGCTAAAAAGAAGTCTGACTGAACATGATTCGTAGTTTGACCAAGTAGGTACTGGAAGGGGATATGAGGTGTTCTTCATAATGTTCAAGAGTTTGCCAAGCATGCTCCTCTCCATTGGCCCCAGAGAAGTCCCGAGTACAGAATCACTCTGGTATGCTGGCTCTGCTGCTGCTGCCCCAGCAAATAGCAGTAAAAAACACTCCAATGACCACAGCAGACTGGCAAAAGGTGTGTAACATCTTGTGTCACACTTTAAAGGGTGTGAGAAATTAGAGTCTGCTCTCCCTTCCTGCAGACAGCTTCTGCATTACATTTCTAGTCCAGTCTGCTATTGAGGTGGATTCCAACATTTCTGTGGCTCTCCACCACCTCTCTGAGAATAAAAATGGTGTTTAACATGGTATTGGTCCCCCTAAAGTCCACTATACTCCCCTTGGTCTTGGCCACATTCAGGAGCAGGTGATTGTTCCCACACCAAAGCGGTCCACCAGGCCTATGTGCTTTGTCTCCTCTCCACTGCTGACACACTCCACAACTGCAGAGTTATCTGAGAACTTCTGCAGATGACAGGTTAGAGGTGTAAATTGTGAAGAGGAAAGGTGAGAGGACTGTCCCCTGTGGTGCTTCTGTGCTGCTGACCACTTGTTCAGACACATTCCTGCAGCTACACAAACTATGGTCTGTGTGTCAGGTAGTCAGACAGTCAGATATATTGATAGCAAATGTACTGTAGCTAAACGTTGGGTTGATTAACAATTACTTGTCAGTTGAGTTAATATTTTGGCAGTACTTATAGGCTACATTTTCAATATACAATAAGAATCAACAGCTGTATTTATTTAAACTTGAATACGTTCAAGCAATTTTTGTACTAAAATATGATATTTTTATCATTTATGCTCCCACATACCCAAAGCTTTTGAAGTCACTTTACATGTAAACTACAAACATAAAATTCAGTACAGTGAAATACAGTTGGCTGCTTTACCTTTTGCCAAAACCTGCATCAGCTCAAAATCAGCACTCCATAGCAATAAATAAACATATAATAATGCCCTAATGTATTAATATTTTGATGAATGGATTTACAATCAATAGGCTGCAAATATGCTGACACCTTTCAACATAAAGCCCCTCACAGAGCACACAGTATAGCAGTGAGCTTATCTCTTTATGGAGGACTATCATCTACTTGCCAATCAACAGAAAAACACTTGCACCTGTAACCCTGAGAGTAGGTGCTCTTACACCCCTACCCACAAAAACTAACACCTGCACTGGTTCTTCAGTTATAACTGTCCAAGAAACAACGAGGTCCAGTTAAAATTTGACAGATCATAAAAGACAATTCAACACTTTTGAAATATCCCTGACTGTGGAGAATATATACAAATATTAAATTGTCAGAAAAGCTAAAAACAAACAAACAAACAAACAAACAAAAAAACAAAAAGCAAAAAACTGAAGAGAGCTGTTTTTCATGGACCTCCATCATTTTTCAGGTTGGTATGTTGAAAGTCAGAAAAGCACGATGTATTACTGTCTAAATAACAATTTAAATTATATTAAACGTAGATGAATGTTGGCGTTTCAATGAATTATGAACATCTCATATAAATTGTTTAAATGTTTCACTCGCCGGATTTCCCCTGGGACGTGAAGGCAACATAATTACAGGCGGTTCTGGCCACCTTATTGGACATTCGTGTGTCTGCTGTTCTCCTATTGGCTCTTTCCGTCTCGTGCTGCGTATGCCGCGGTCTGTAGCCCCAGCTGCGCGTGCGCTTAATTCCACACAGCCGTGAAGGCGGCGGAATTGAGGCATGAATAAACGGAAATAGGGAGAATTTACGTTCAAAACAAAGGGATAAAGCATAAACGAAGAAAAGAAATTTGTCACGTCACTGCTTTACTTAATTTACATTTTGCAGAATGAGAGTAGGTACATAATTCAGGCCCCGTAACTAGAAGTTAAATACCAGTACCAAATTAAATATCAGTAAATAAAAAGGAAAAACTTTTATTTAAAAATGAGAGCTGTAATTGAATCATTGATTGTCATGCACCCTTTAAGAAACTGATGCTTTATTCTACTTGTTTTACACAAGTATATGGCCTGACTGTTGCTCTCTGTGTCATGCTGTGTCACACAAATAGGCTATAGTAGGTATGTCCAATGATTGAAAGTATGTGATCTAGAAAGCAAATGCTTAAAAACTCAGTTGTTACCTGGTATGGTTCTTTGACATTAAACCCCCAGGGGCCCGTGGAGATTTTAATCCAGTCAGGTGACAGCCATGTACTGACTACCACAGACACAAGACATTACAAATATAAGCTACTGAATGATAGTGTGATAAATTTCTGTGAAGGCATACCCATCTTTAGAGTAAAGTCATGGTAGCCACTGAACGTTATATTATCGTATTTATAGGCGGATTCCAGCATTTTAGACTCAATTTATTTATATTTCACTATTCTTGGCTCAACAATAAATAAATAAAATAATATTTTGTGAAATTTTATCCTGATACTTTGAAAAAATACTTTGTAAATCTTCATACTGGGAGATACATTTTATAAGCAACTGAATAGATTGAGTAAATATAAATATGAAATTTTTAATTCTTAAAAACATTTGAGACTTTAATTTTGGCATATGGTGAACAATTATTGGGGGGCAATGGAGGACTTGGAGTCAAATAAACCTTTTAAATCCGAGGTAGCTACACCTCTGTGAAGGCCATACTATAAAATTAACAAAATGCAGGGATCCTGTAATTCCTGTTATCTCGATTAATAGCATTTATAATTCATAAGTAATTGATAGTTTAAATAGTATTCTGTAATTATGGGTGGCACGAATGCTACATCTTTACTGCAGAGGCTTTATTTTGAAGTTCCATATGGAGTTTAGTGTCGGGTATTGCTGGTCATTGACAGCCGGCGAGCCTTTGAAAGTCTGGAGTCTGAGTGCAGTTCAGGAGAGACGATGTCCGCTGTGATACGCAAACTGTACGCATCTCTATTCGCTTTTAAAACAAATTCTCCATGAAATAACAATAAGACGGGGCCTCAAGGATGGCCAACTCGGTGAGTAGCCTGTTGGAGGATTGTCCGGTGAAACGGAGCATGTTTGGACATTTAGCTGTTCTCTCACACTGGAGGAGTCGGTGGCTTTTACTCCGAAACGAGGATTTTTCAAGCCGTACAGCTAGCTAGACCTGATAATGTGCCGCTTTCTCCTGAATGACCAGTGTAATGCAAAATTTCCTCTTTTTTTTTTTAAGTAGTTGCTTTGACATTTTTGCTGCTTACAGAAAAAAATGCGTTTTTGCTAATGTCTAAATTATTATAATTTCAGAATGGACACAGTCAATTCGGCATAATTTTATACGCAATGCATAAAGTAGCACTTAAAGCAGATAAAATGTAAACTTTCTCGAGGGGGTTTCCTCTTATCTTCACCAAATTGTTTTTTTCAACAGCAGTGTAAGATTATACCATGGTAGAAAGCAAATTTCAGTAGTGTAAAGTTTGTGGAAATGTTGCTTCAGGCGTGGTATTTAAGTGTTTATCCGCAGGCTTTAGCTAATAGTAGCCTAAGAAGTAGCAAGTCGGGTTCTCCCAGGTGTGTAGACCTGCCTTAAATCTCAGGTTTTTGAAAGGATTCGACAGGACGTGGTCCAGGCAGCAGGCAAAGGAGCATGGGCTGCCATGTACTAATTGGTTTAAAAGCAGCATATCAAATCCTTAGATAGGTTTGTGTGAACGTCGGCCATCAGGTTTATATCAATATATCGACATTTTGGTTTTAAAATTGTTTTTCATACTAGGTCAAACTCGTGTAGTGATTTGCTCAAAGTTCTTTTTTTAAACTTTGCTTAAATTTGAGCAGTAACCCAGCGTGGTTTTGTTTCACAGGGTGCTGTTCAGGTGAAACTAGAACTTGGTCACCGTGCTCAAGTCAGAAAGAAACCCACTGTGGAAGGCTTTACCCACGACTGGATGGTGTTTGTCCGAGGACCTGAACACAGCAACATTCAGCACTTTGTGGAGAAAGTAGTTTTTCACCTGCACGAAAGCTTCCCGAAACCAAAAAGAGGTAAGACCTGCTATTTTGGCTTTGGTCGGGATGTGTCCTTGATGTTCTTTTTTTTTTTTCATTCATTCATTTTTGGCCTCTTTCTTCAGGGCAACTGGGTGTTGAGTGTTGTGAGAGGGTGGGTTGGTGGTGGAGTCCCTGTAGCTGACTCTGACCTCTGACATCATGGGGGGTGGCAGGAAAGAGAGCACAATTCCTTGTGTTTTTAAGTACTGTTAACATAAATTACTCAGATACATGCAGTATTGTAGAGAAAAGGAAGTAATCTTTGGTTCTGTGAGCAAAACAATTGTTTGTGTGTGTGTTTGTATAGTGGCAAATGAAACAAGTTATGCTCTTTTCTCTGTAAGTCTCAGGTGACAGAATGTAAAGGTTGATGATGTTTAATGATGCAGAATGCTTTTTATGTTGATGTTTGTTTCAAGCATTTTCTAAATGTCACTCTATACAGATGTGTTGCGTTGAAACCCTGCCAAACAGAACTAATTGTATGTGGTGTTTGGATATGAAACAGATGGGTGCTTGGTTTTGGAGGATGCAAGTGTAACATAAAGCAGTGACAGGTATAACTTCTGTGGCTAGTTCCTTGGCACTTGGCTCCAACAAGCAGCGAGCCTGAAATGCAAGTATTGCAGAATAGGAAATATTAAGAAAAGTCAAGGCTGGACTGATAATTGCTTTTCATTCCAAACTCGGCTGTGCAGTTTCTCCACCACAAACAGATAAGCTGTACACATGCTATAGGCTGCTTATACACTGTGCAGTAATGACAATCTTGTAAGTTCATTGCATGTTAAACTGTACTAGAATAAATTCTGGTGTTTCATGTGATTGGTTTTTTTTTAATATATTCTTATTTTTATTTCCTATTGCCCTACAAATCACATTTGAGAGCCTCTGTACCAGATTCCTTGTGTGTTTCAGTCAGATTCTGATGTGATGTGCTATTTGACCAACACTCCAAAACCCAGAAATGATTGACAGCCATATGAAAAGCATCAAATTCTTACATTTGAGAAGCTGGAACCAGGAATGGTCTAGCATTTTTGCTTGATAAAGCTTAAAATGCCATTTAACTTTCTGTTGATCTGTCTGATGTGTTGGATTTTGATGCAGGCTGCATGTGATCATGCCAAATCAGTGTCTCACAGAACAATGTACAACCGCTGTTTTGGAGTAATGACTTTCACACTGGTGTTCTCATGGTTGTCATCTTTTGTCTGGGGCAGCCCAAAATCTCCCTCCTTATGGCGGCCTTGAAGGAAGAGACAGTGATATTACAGAAAGATGAATATTTGAGCTCGACAGCCAAACAAATGTACCCCTCCCGTTGCTCCTTCAGACGCAATGGAATCATGTTGTGTGGTGTGGTGGGTGCCACTTTGTTCACCTTTTACAGAGCCAGAGCTGTGTAAACAGGATTGTTTTTCAGCATTACACAGAACAGACAGTTAGCTGACGGTGAGGGAATATTCACTGACTTTACCAGAAAGTGTATTGGACTAGCATCACTTACTGCACCTTTAAGTCTTTGTGCTCTGGCCTTTCTTTGAGTTTAAGGGGTGATTGGTAAGATTGATTCTTTGTAGTTACAAGGACCCAGATCACAGACGGATATTTGATTTACTGACTTCAGTTTAAGTTCAGTCATTCATGATGTCTCACATTCTCATGGGATTCAGTGTAAATTGGGGGCAAATATATCACTTTGTTCTTTCTAGATGTCTGATGGCTATCTCGGATGGTTGGTTCCACAGTGACCACTGCAGCATGCAGACAGTTTAAGGAACCTACAGTCTAATTAGATTTTTACTAATGTATCTAGGGCTGATTGGCTAATTGGTAAAGAACACGGCAGAAAATAGTGAAAAATGTCCACGACAGCTCTCTAGCACCCAGGTGGACATATTTCATGAAAAGCTTATACAGTACATACAGTGGGTACGGAAAGTATTCAGACCCCCTTAAATTTTTCACTCTTTGTTATATTGCAGCCATCTGCTAAAATCATTTGTTCATTTTTTTTCCTCATTAATGTACACACAGCACCCCATATTGAAAGAAAAACACAGAATTTGACATTTTTGCAGATTTATTAAAGAAAAACTGAAATATCACATGGTCATAAGTATTCAGACCTTTTGCTCAGTATTTAGTAGAAGCACCCTTTTGAGCTAATACAGCCATGAGTCTTTTTGGGAATGATGCAACAAGCTTTTCACACCTGCATTTGGGGATCCTCTGCCATTCCTCCTTGCAGATCCTCTCCAGTTCTGTCAGGTTGGATGGTAAACGTTGGTGGACAGCCATTTTCAGGTCTCTCCAGAGATGCTCAATTGGGTTTAAGTCAGGGCTCTGGCTGGACCATTCAAGAACAGTCACGGAGTTATTGTGAAGCCGCTCCTTCGTTATTTTAGCTGTGTGCTTAGGGTCATTGTCTTGTTGGAAGGTGAACCTTCGGCCCAGTCTGAGGTCCT